AATTAATTCAATACCGCACATTCTACCAATGCATTATACATTATTACGTGGTGCAAAGTATTATGCACCACACATTACAAAAACTCAAGCACTCGGGATGCTGTCTTGGGTATTAAAATTCAAAATGACCTTACTCTTTCTGCATACAGTTATATGGGTACTTGTAATTAAGACACCGGCAGCGATTCATTTTTAAAGCAGCGAGACGGCGCCCGATGCGCTTGACAGCTCCGCAACTCTGCAAAACTTTTCAAAGCTTACCTCTGCCTCTCACAGACGCGTTGGCCTCTTCATCTTTGCTAGCTTGAGTGATTACTGACGAGGAAGGTTGGTCCATGAGATCTACCCAGCAAACAAGGGACATCCAGAGGACGTCCTTACAGTAGGTCGTCCGCAATACGTCCCTTTTTTGGGGATGTCCTAAGGACGTCCTTAGGACGACCGTGTTATTATGAACACTAAAGAAATCCTTCAAAAGCAAGTTGTTGTGACAGTTTCCAGGAATAGCATTTTAAATAAATAATTTTATCTGAAGTACTTCCTTTTATTAATGTCCCATCAGGATGTCCAGAACTCGTCCTTTGAGGACGATTTCCGGACCAAAAGAGGACATCCTGAGGACGACCTAAGGACGACTTGCTGTTTGCTGGGTATGTCCTTAGTGTAATTCAAACTATAATTTTATTAAAATATTAAGTTAATTACGTGAAATATGTAGACTCTTGACCTTTAAATATAAATATCCTGAATTCCGATGTGTGCATGAATGTAACCGGTTTGCATGCAGTCATTAAAAAGTCAAACAGGAAATAAATATATTTAAACATAAAACAAAAGTTTGCTGCACATAACTTTGTAACAACATGGAGTTCATCTAGGCTCTCAATTTCAAGATACAAACATGGAACTTGAATGTTTCAAGGCTTCCCCTCCCTCTTAAAGCGGCAACTGCGCGCTTCCGCTGCCGCACTGGGGCTTCGGTCCGGGAGCCGCGCAGCCTTAACTGGAGTCCAGGCTCACTGAAAAGGCTTTAGAAGATGGCAGGGGTGCATGCTCTGCACACACGCTTCCCAAAAGTACGCCAGTCAAATAATACTAATAATAATAATAGTAATCATAATGGGTCGCTTTGATATAGCGCCTTTCATACCCATCTTTTTGGGGAGTAACTAACCTCAGGCTGCTTTAGTTTGTACACCCATCTGAGTGACACAAGGCAGCTATTTTGCTCCAAGGCGCTTAGGGCACGAAAGCTTCGCGGATGGATGAAAAGTTATGACAACAATAAAAGATTATTCAGAATAAGTGTTATATGGAAACACCCGTGTTATATGGCCTGCTCTTCCGTAAGTGTTGTGGCACCTTTGACGACTAAATAACAGCCCGGAATTTGGTTTGGAGTTTTGGCACAGCGGCACTGTCTCCTCCGCGCTACATTAATGACATTCTGTTTGTTTCACAGGGAAGAGCGCCGCCTGCTGTCGGTGAACTCTGAAGTAATGTTACTAAAACTGCATTATTAAAGTAAAATGTTGGACGGCAGCAGCGAATCCAAACTTCACCTCTACGTTTAATCCCCGTGCTACCTTAATGAGCTGACATTTGTTTCATAGGGAAGGGCTATCAGGGCTAAATTACACTAAAAGTGATGTTTGCCAATGATTGCAAATACTCAGTGATACAGTGAAATACACTGGCTCATTTGGTGGATCGGGGCTGGGGAAACCTCAGTCCCAGATGTCACAGGTTTCCTTCATCTATCCGTATGTGGTTCAGTGGGGCCATTTGGGTATAGCCTGCAAATACACTCACCTAAAGGATTATTAGGAACACCTGTTCAATTTCTCATTAATGCAATTATCTAATTAACCAATCACATGGCAGTTGCTTCAATGCATTTAGGGGTGTGGTCCTGGTCAAGACAATCCCCTGAACTCCAAACTGAATGTCAGAATGGGAAAGAAAGGTGATTTAAGCAATTTTGAGCGTGGCATGGTTGTTGGTGCCAGACGGGCCGGTCTGAGTATTTCACAATCTGCTCAGTTACTGGGATTTTCATGCACAACCATTTCTAGGGTTTACAAAGAATGGTGTGCAAAGGGAAAAACATCCAGTATGCGGCAGTCCTGTGGGCGAAAATGCCTTGTTGATGCTAGAGGTCAGAGGAGAATGGGCCGACTGATTCAAGCTGATAGAAGAGCAACTTTGACTGAAATAACCACTCGTTACAACCGAGGTATGCAGCAAAGCATTTGTGAAGCCACAACACGCACAACCTTGAGGCGGAAGACCCCACCGGGTACCACTCATCTCCACTACAAATAGGAAAAAGAGGCTACAATTTGCACGAGCTCACCAAAATTGGACAGTTGAAGACTGGAAAAATGTTGCCTGGTCTGATGAGTCTCGATTTCTGTTGAGACATTCAAATGGTAGAGTCAGAATTTGGCGTAAACAGAATGAGAACATGGATCCACCATGCCTTGTTACCACTGTGCAGGCTGGTGGTGGTGTAATGGTGTGGGGGATGTTTTCTTGGCACACTTTAGGCCCCTTAGTGCCAATTGGGCATCGTTTAAATGCCACGGCCTACCTGAGCATTGTTTCTGACCATGTCCATCCCTTTATGACCACCATGTACCCATCCTCTGATGGCTACTTCCAGCAGGATAATGCACCATGTCACAAAGCTCGAATCATTTCAAATTGGTTTCTTGAACATGACAATGAGTTCACTGTACTACAATGGCCCCCACAGTCACCAGATCTCAACCCAATAGAGCATCTTTGGGATGTGGTGGAACGGGAGCTTCGTGCCCTGGATGTGCATCCCACAAATCTCCATCAACTGCAAGATGCTATCCTATCAATATGGGCCAACATTTCTAAAGAATGCTTTCAGCACCTTGTTGAATCAATGCCATGTATAATTAAGGCAGTTCTGAAGGCGAAAGGGGGTCAAACACCGTATTAGTATGGTGTTCCTAATAATCCTTTAAGTGAGTGTATACTGTATACCCACCAATCGGGCTGATGGAGGGGGTGTCACAACCAGCACCCCGTGAGGGGGATCATAACCAGCTCCTAATTCAGCACCTGATCCTACTCCAAGTAGTCACTGTCTGAGTGTTTTTTTTAGTCTACCAGACACTTGAGAACCTCCAACACCAAAGTGCCTTGTATTTACAGCCATGTGAGGAAAACATAGTTTATCGAAGCGCAGTACATATTATTATGTTCAAAAATATGTAAAAGGCAAGGCCACATGGAAAAATAAGTTCAGTTTAAGTGACCCCCCCCCCACACACACACACACACACACACACACACAGCCTGCACTATGCTTGGGCATCACGCTGTTTGGATATTAGGCCTATACCGCAGTAAAGGCCTACTGTATTGTAAAAAAGCAGCGCTAGTCTAGTATTTCCTGACAGCATTTGGCGAATGGGATATGGGGGTGGGCATTGGTTTGGGTTATTTTGCTATGATATAGTTACCGTTGTATAGGGTTACAGTATTAACGTAACACCGCCAAAGCCTGACCAGTACCTCCCCCCACCACTCCCTGTTGTCCCTCATCCACAATCAAAGATGGGATGTCTGGGGTATTCTGTTTGTGTACTATGTGTATTGCGTTTGCACTTTGTCTTGTTTTGCACTATATGTTCGTCTACACTTTGTTTTGCTTTATACAAATCGTTTTTCCATGCAAAGTATTTATAGTTGCTACCTCCCTCCTATGGCTGGCTGTTTTCACATATGCATATACATTCAAATATTTATTTGTATGATTATGCTCTTTTGTTTTTTACTTTTTTTTTCTCTCTTTTCTTTTATTGGACTGAAAAGGAGCAGCCCATCTAGTTTCTTAGTGTATTTAATACAGTGACAATAAAGCTTCTATTGTATTATATTCTATTCTACTTTGTAGCTTGATGCACAAGAATCTCCCCTCCTTAGATCAATACGTTTTTTCTTATATTTTAATTTATAAATCAATATAATAATAAAAAAGTGCGAAAGCCACCAAGCCTGCCGCAGGTAACTTTACTGGATATGGAGGTGAAGCGAGGCTTTTCAGCAGTGGAGCCCACAGCTTGGTGATTCCTAATATATCCTGGACGTCCGCTTAACAGATAATGACGTACATCGTCCATTAGGGACGAAAATGAGCCGACCGAAAAGATTGACTTAATATCATGATATAAAACAAAAATTGTCGTCATGTACTTTCTTCAGTTGCTTGGATCTCATCCCTTCTTGTTAAAAGATACTTTGGTTTTAATCCTTAGCTTTTCCGTGCATTATACTGTACCTGTTTTTTAACGGTCAAGAGACATTTCGCCCGGGGAGCCTTGAAACGGCTTGGAGTAAAAGACAGCTAGGGAGAGTCACCAAAGTCCCTCCCGGGCTCATTAGCTGGACGACATTAATATTCACGGTGTGCTGCACTTATGTTAAAATCACTTCAAAGTAACACGTTAATTGTATTAACACATTTATCTGCACAGAGGCTTTCAATGCATTTGCGATATGTGTCATAAAAAGCTACGCAAAGTATCTGGCTTGCCGTCAAATGTCAGTGACACCCCAATAAGCCCAATAAGTGCTCTTTTTTATAAGCTGGACCCACGGATCAAAAACGATGCGCGGACAACAGGAGAACAGGATCTAAAAATGTAAAACCTGCAGAAATTAATATGATATTTCATGGCACAACTAGATGGCGCTGTTGAGTACGCCTGGGAATCTGGACGCTGCATTGAATATCCTAAATAATTATATTTACTGTATATTTCGCTTGGGCAGCTGGAATATAAAGCTGGTTGAAGTCAGCAGGTTCACTGCTTTACCCAGGATTGTCATCCTCTCTCAAATATCAGTATGCAGTGTAAAACCATAAGGTGTGAAAGCTCACGTAGACACCAAAATCTACTGACTGTGAAGTCTGGAATGTGTATGAAGTTGGCGTTCGCTAAAAACCCACAAGGCAGTAGTTAGAGAAATGTACAGTCCTTTATTAAATATCAGAGATGCTGATGGGAGATTAAGTCAGGGCCTCCACCTGTCCAAGGATGGATCTCCAAGCCTATAGCTTCTGAATAGAGCATTTGCCGATGGTTTGATGTGCTTTTTCTCATGAGGAAGAGACACGGGAAACTGATGGGTGAGACATCCTGCATCTCATGTAGCTCAGATTCATCCTTACTGCAAGGTGATTTTCTATAGGTCAGGCACCTGGTTCCTCCTAGCCCTGTGATGAAGAAGTAACCTGTATCGGATATCAGAGCAGAGAGGGCCACAGGGCAGAAGTCCACACCTGCCCTTCCTCTTCACAGGATGTCCAAACGGGCAAAAGACTGATCCACTCCAAGTTTGTTCTCCACAAAGACCTCGTACTTCCCTGTGTCTGCGAGGTGTGCGTTTTTGATGGTTAGGATCGTGTCAGTGTCTCCGACATCAAAGTAAACCCTATGAGGGACACGTTTAAACACTCATCAGGTCACTTCAGGCGTGTGAATGCTGGACCTGTATGTTTCATAGGGCACCTCAGTTCCTGGGACTGGCACACACAGCCTTCAGCAGTCTCTGTTGTGATGACACACCCACCTGTCATCCTCATTGATGTCATCCCCGTCCTTTAGCCAGCCTACATCAGGCGCTGGCTCCCCGCTGATCTCAGCTCTCAGCTTCACCATCGACCCCCTCTTCACCTTCACACTGTCGGGGCCCTTGGCGATCTTGGCAGGCACTGTGGGGATTAGAACCCAACCCTGCCATGATGCTGTGTGCTATTCCTGTGTTGCTCAGGATAATAATAATAATAATAATTGTAAATTATTATTATTATTATTATTGTGTTTCTTATTGCCATAGATATTTTACCCAATTAAAACAATTATAAAGTTACAGGAGGTGTCTTGGGACCTGAACATGCAACCTTCTGATCAAAGCGCTACATGGTTTATTGGTGCACAGTCAGGACTTGGATTCAAACCAAGGACAGAGTACTTCTAAAACAGCTGATTGGTTACCTGCCCCACCCCCACCCCCACCCTTCCCACGCGCACCCTCCACCATGATGCAGGCTGAGTCTGAGGTCTCCCCAAAGGGGTTCTTGATCTTCACAGTGTATTGGCCCAGGTCGCCCAACACGCCGTCACACACCACCAGGGCCACCACGTCGGGGTCCTCAAACACATAGCGATACTTGGGCCCATCCTTGAGCTCCCGGCCATCCTTGGACCAGACAATGAAGGGGTCGGGAAAGGCGCTGACCCGGCACTCTAGCTTGGCTGCGCTGCCTTCCAGCAGCAGCACATCTGTCAGCGGCTGCAGGACCTTGGGGGGCCCTTTCTCACGTAGCTCCTTACGTGACCTGATGGCACGACATGCACACATAGGGTCATGACCCTGCCACACAGGCCACTCTTACTGCTGGTTACTCTCACTGCTGGTCACTTTCACGAGTAACACAGAGTCATGGGGGCTCTCAGGTCATGCAGGACGGTATTCTGACCCTAACATTTCATTACAATGGCCACCAGCTGTGTATGGGGATTGCGTGTTGGGGAAAGGAAGGAAGGCTTAACAACTCCTTCTTCCCCACTACCATCTCCTTAACAGAATAATGGACATCATACTACCTCATACTGTAATTTTTTGCACATTAAGCTCTTTTGCACATTAACCTTAAAGTATTTATTCTTCTATTTATTTTTTCTGTTATATTTTATCTCGATATTTTTTGTGTGGACAGCAAAGTAAGAATTTCATTACATAGAGAAATGCACTTTCTACTGTAAATATGACAATAAACGCTTTGAATCTTGAATCTTCACAGGTGTCAAACAATCTTCTGTAGAGAACATCATTAAAACACCAAGCAAACAGCTACCTGTGGCCTCTGTAAGACGCCTGAATACGAATTGCTGCTTCCTGCACCTGGGGGTCATTTATGTTGAGGGCACACCCCGGAGGGGGGGCTGTCTTGACTTTGGACATCTGCAGGGAGGAGACAGGCACCCCCACAGGAGTGTGGGTGCCATTTGCATTCAGCATGAACTGTAAGGTACAGCGGTGACATGTTAGAAAGACAAAGATGGTGAAGTAGTACAGGAACCCAATAGAGAAGTGTGTGAGCTTTTGGTGTCTTAAGAGATTGAGGAGGACCTCAGGGTACACCACGAAAGCTCCATGCTTAAATGTGACCCAGCTTCAGCAGCACCCACTGCATCTCCCATTCTGGCCCACCACACATATGTACAACTTCTCCATCAATCCCCCTAGTACACTGAACTAGACCTCGCAACCCCAAGAACTCACCCTGAACTGGCTCTGGAACAGGCTCCACTGGCTCTAGACGCAGCAGGTGGTGAGTGTGGCCAGACCGTCAGATGGGCCCATTTAAACAGAGTCCAGAGGGGACCTCTCTCACAGGGGAGGCACATTCCAAGTGATGCCTGTCCTTTTTTGGAGTATCTCACAGGGTTTGGCCCGGCCTGGTCAATGAAAGAGCTGCTGCCCCTGCAGTCCAAGCCTCCAGCTGACGACCTTATATAGCCTTGGCATAAACACCCTGAGGGGGATAGCTACAGGGCAGGGTGAAAGGAGAGTGGCCCCTGGAGGACAATATCAGCACGTGAACTTGGGGGGTGGGATGATGACCTGCTGTGGAATCTCCCACCTGGACCCAATCAAACCCATCAGCTTCGAGTAGAGGACATCTCGCAGGTCTGAGATATAAATATGACCGGTGGAATTTATCAACTAGTGAAAGAATTGTGATGGTTGTGTTTATTATGTTCAGGACTCAAGTTTCATCAAAAGTTTGGAGTGAGATCTGGAGGTGTTACGTTAATGGATCAGGCGAGCAGGCAAGTAGGCGAGTTGAGCCGAACAGACAGGTAAACGGGGTTTTAATCGGCTGGTAAAGGGCAGACATCCACGCACATTACATCACACCACAATGACAGATCTGGGGAATACTGACTTAGACGAGGACTAAATACACAAGACAGGCTGAACTTAACAAGCAACAGGTCATTACAATCAGGTATGAACACGAGGTAACGAGGGGGGCGTGGCACACACGAGGATCGTACGAGCCATGTGTGACAGGAGCGTATGTTTCATGGACAATGCATGAGGCTTGAAAGCCCTGCCTACCTCATTCATCAGATCTTGCTCTTCCACTTCCACATTGCCTGTACTCCATGTGTGTGCACATCCATGGAATACTGTGCTTGCAGCAGGATCACATGTAACTTATTTTGGAATTTACCCAGAATCAACAAATATTATTTTCTGATTGGCTGGGAAAGCTATGAACTCTTCGGAAAACTCCACTCTATATGCCTGTGCATTAATTCCATATTATGGGACACCTTGGTGGGAGTTATCCCTTACTTCTCAGCATGAGAAACACAAAGTGTTGCATGTGAACATGTGAACTGGTTGAAATGCGTGAGTCTCACAGTCAATGTGTGAGACTTGAGAGCCCCCTGTTTCACCTAAACAAGATGAAGCTGAACTACACATTACAAGATCATCCCACTTGAATAGCTTGCTCACACCCAAAACTTGATTTTAAACCAAATTTGGTTTAAATTTGCACAGTTTCACCAAGAAGCTTAGCAGCTGTTAGACGGTGTGTCAGTCACAAGAAATAACTCTGCCAAGTTGACTCCAAAGCCACCTTGTTACTGTGTCCTAAAAACAGTGAATGAATTAACTGAGTAAACACAATCTTTTACAAATACATTGGTACCTTGGAACATGAACTTAATTCATTCCAGAAGGCTAGTCGAGTTGTGATTTGGTCGAGGTACAAGTTGAATTTCCCCATAAGAAATTATTTAAATGAATTTAATCCGTTCCGGACCCCCAAATGATTGCCTATTTAAACCTATCGACCTACCTAACTAATGATAAAAAAGCATTAACAATCAATATAAAACTAATACACACATAATTAAGCACACATAGAAAAGCAATAATCATGAAATAAGTGACAATTGATGAGCACTTTACCTGTTTTGAGGTGAGCTGAGGAGGACGAATGAACAGGTTATTGTTTTAACAGGTCTGTTTCATTTTGTTGTATTCTGAGTTTTTGGTCAAGTTGTGGCTATATTTTTCTCGACTAACCTGTTAGAGGTCCTAACTTAGAATAGAAGTTTTAGCAGGAAAGGTCGAGTTCCAAGATTTCGGTCGAGGTACAAGTCGAAAAAAAATTTACAGACCCACTCAATACCTGAGTTGGTCAAGTTAAGAGGCATCTGAGTTCCAAAGTTCAGCTCTGTGACCACACCCTAATCCCCTTCAAATTCCCAATATGAGCTGCAGTGAGACCCCTGGCGTGGGATGGGGGCCTGGACTCCTTGGTGCAGCCTGACAAACACAAAACCTTCACAGCAGAATCTGCATTTGGGCCACAGCATGTCAATATATTTGAGTACTGTTGTTTGTGTCTGCAAACAGAAACATCATCTGAATGAAAATAAAGCAGAATGAAGTACGAGAATTGTCTGGGGTTAGTGATAGGCCTTCTGTGCAGGGTTAGGCCTTCTGTGTGAGGTTAGCTTTAGAGGGAGAGGGAGTGACGTGATTCTGTGGGTCTCCAAGATTCGGATTGCGCCATTCTCCCATACATGCCCAGCAACACTGAGCTCACTCAGTAAACATTTATTTGAAGTCCACAAAAGATCCATGTTTACTGTAATATCAGCTATAACAGTGAAGCGTTACATTGACCGCCCAAAGGCATAATTAGCGTGTTTATACACTACTCCACCCACTGATTTACTTTCAAATCATACTAACAATTATTTTAGAAATACACACCAGTGATAAAAGAATGTTAATTAGATAGTAAAAACTAAATTAAAAGATATACACTCTACAATTGCACAGAGCGTCGTTGTAAAGGGTACAGAGTTATACATTTACAGAGCATGTATGGCAGTCTGAAAGGGGGGTCCTAAGACATATTGCTCTCATACGTGTGGCTCTGACCCCTAGTGAGAAGGTGTCACCATGAAGAACCAGGAACACTGAGCAAAGAGAAGCACAACATTGCAAAAAGGCTCTGGAGAGAGAGGAGGTGTGGGAGGCAGGGCTCTGGAGGTGGGAGGCTGAGCCAGGGAGGGCTTCTTCCAGTGTGACTGGGACACATTGCTCGGAGGCACAGGAGGCGGGGCTCTGGAGGAGGGAGGGTTGAGCCTGGGGGGGGGCTTCTACCGGTGTTACTTGGATACTTGGCTCAGAAAGAATGAGGGGGAGGAGGCTGGGTTCTGGAGGAGGGATCAGTGATCCACTGCTACTCGTACTGTACTGTGTTCACTCCTCTGTCTGGAGAGTGGGGGGCATAGACTCCCCACACCCTGGAGCCAGCACATCCCACCCCTGCTGTCCCATTGTTCCAGCCGGGTCACTCATTGGGCGGTGGATGTGGTGGGCATGGTCGTCGAGCTTTGATAGGAGCGTAGTAGCACCTTGTGCTTGGTGACACCCTCGGCCCTCCGCCGCTGCTGCTCCACCAGGAAGGCCTTGAGGCGCGTGGTGGTGAAGGTGAGCGTCTGCCGCCGCAGTTTCATCAAGTAGGCGTCCTGCAGCCAGGCATTGTTGAAGCAATCTTTGATGGTCGGACGGGCCCTGGAAGCCAGTGCAGACATCAGGAGAACTACATCAGCTACAGGCATGTGAGAGCCATCAGCAGAAGCTGTCACGGTGTCCTCCAAGGCATGTAAAATCAAATAATAATTAATCATAAAAATAAAACATTAAGAATGATCCCACAGTACGTCACTTGGGATGAAGAGTGACATATGAGGCTGAGCTCACCAGGCGTAGCTACACATGATCTTTTTGAGGAACAGAGAGGCACTCTGAGACACGTTCTGGTAGAGTTTTGTCTGGTCAAACTTGGCAGCCAGGATTTTGGCCTCAGTTTCCAGGGTGTCGGACTCCTGGAAAGGCAGCCTTCCACTGAGCCTGGAGTTGCAGAGGCCAAAGCAGAAACGGGACAAACATCCGGTCACTTTGCTGCCTTCACATGTCATACCTGTCACCATGCCACCCTGACAGGTCAGTCTCCTACAACACCGACCTCCTCCATGAATTCCACCATCTTACCTATAACTCTCTCTCTAGTGATCATATAAGTATTTACACGTCATGTCCCACACATCTCCTTGGCAATGGGGCTACTTACATGACATAGGTGACCACACCCAGACTCCAGATGTCAGCGGGGGGGCCCACCACATCTCCTTTAACCGTCTCAGGAGCTTTTACATCAGCGAAAAATGAGAGCAATTAATAGGCAATTATAAGAGAAAAAGATACTGGTGAGATCGGTTAAGCCTGGGTATAAATTATGGGTTGATAGAGGCTTGTAAAACACCCAAGAACCGGCCAATACAATCTCCCCTCTCAAATAATCAAATTGTCATGATAAATGAGTGGGGACCTAAACCCCCCCTCTCCCCCCAGCCCAGTGCTCAATCCAAAGTTGCGCTCTTGCAGTTAAGGATTTTTTTAATGAAACAACCCAGCTCTTAGTGTTTACAATAAAAGTCTGCATTTTAAACCAGCAGCAATTTAAATATTCACTTGTAACATCACACGGTAATTCACCCATCACCTGAGCAGGACAACTCACCCATGAACTCCAGGGTAGACAGGTGACAATTATGAGGCTTGAGGAACAGCGGATTGAAACTCTGCGCACTGCCGAAGTCCACAATCTTGAGTACGTTGGTGGGCGACACCATAATGTTGTCAGGCTTGATGTCCAGGTGGAGAATGCGCCGGTTGTGGAGGTATTCGAGGCCCTGCAGAGCCTGGACCACAAAGCTGACCACATCATCCTCCGAGTAGCGGTACCTGGGGAGAGCACGTTGTACTGGGTCATCAGCATGCCCCACGCATGCTGCACACACCGTACACGCCACACACACATATGCCTGACCTGTCAACAAGGCTGTACAGGAGCTCCTTGCCTGAGCAGCTCTCAGCGATGAGCACCAGGTAGTGTGGTGTGATGTAGGCCTCGTGCAGCACCATCACGTTGCTATGGTGCAGGTTTTTCAGTACCTCGTACTCACGCAGCACGCCCTGTTTGCTCTCTGACTCGTACGGAACAATCTTGGCCATAAAGAGCTGGCCTGTGGCATTCTCCCGACACTCGCGGATGACACCAAAGCGGCCCCTGTCCAGCACACGTCAGCCAAATGGCAAGGCCCCAGAAGTAGGGAGACTCTGTTATTTTATACACAAGTGGATGCATGGTCCATCTTACACACACATAAGCTTAAAGCTTCCATTATGATAAACTCCTTGTTTTTACATGGCTCATTAAATGTATTCACACAGTGGTAATTGCTCTAATCATTGATATGATTATGCGGAGACCCCTGCATCAAACATACAACAGAAGCAGCTCTCCTGGGGTCATGCATCATTGTCTGTAAACACCACCTGAACAGGGCTTGACTCTCTTCTGGTTTAGCACTTTCCCCGTATGACATTTGAATGTTAAATAAGTAGACACTGGTGAAACATGGCTGCTACTGACCTGCTCTTCTCCTCCAGGAAGGTATATGGCTTCTGGGGCACCCCCTGCCTCAAGGTACTCTCACCTGGCTTTCCTGAAGGTGCTTTTTGCACTGAGGGGGTGGCTGCAGCCTCCCCAAAGGGGCTCAGGCTGGTCACCATCACTACAGGGGACAAGAGGGTAGGGCCTGTTGCTGGGGGTGTAGCCTGGTCTGTGGACATGGGAACATACGTGGGAATGGGGGAGATGGGTCTGCCAAGAGGAGGGGACGGTGAGACCAGTGGGGGTGGGGAGACAGGAGGAGACTGGGTCATGGGGGGGACCACGTTGACAGGACTCAATGACTTAGGAAGTACTCTTGGGGGGGTGGTCCTGATTGTGGGCTGGACTCCAGGGGACGGGTTTCCCATAGTGATGTTCAGGGTGGACTTGGCTTTTGTGGATGTAGAGGGGACTGAAGACGGTGCCTGAAACTCCTGAACAAACTGAGTGGGAGTGGCAACATGTGCAGGAGGGGATGGGACTTCAGTATGGGCAGACACAAGAAGAATGGGTGGGGCTTGAGCTGTTGGGGGAGCAGATCCTTGGTGGGAAGAAGAACGGATTGTAGGGGCTTTGTCTGTGGGAGGCACAATTTTTTGGGCAGAAGCAGGATGGGTAGGTGGGGCTTGGGCTGCAGGAGGAACAATTCCTTGGGCAGGACCAGGATGAGTGGGCAGGGCGTGTGACTGAGAAAAGGAAGATACATTGGATGGAGGAGGGGTTGATGTGGGGTGAGAAACAGCAAATCCAGATTTACTGGGAATGGCAGCAGAAGCAGGCCTGAGGGGCATGGCTGAGCTGACAGAAGATGCAGATGGCTTCATAATCATGCTGGCTGCTGCCTTAGGAGTCGCTGGGGAACAGAAGGTTCAGCTTAGACTATGAACTTTATCTTTTTGGTAAGAAATGGAGGAAATGGGAGGTGCTTACCTGAAGAGTCCAAGCACACCTTCTCTGAGACGTTACTGTAAGGACTCTGCCCTGCCTTGTTGACACAAGCCACCCTAAACCTGAAGGTGTACCCAGCTGAGAGGTCTGTCACGTTGTAGTAACAGTCAGCCACACCTGTAGCTACAATCAGCCAGTTTTCTTCACCTAGTGAAAAGCAGGTGAATAAAAACCTTTGCGCCTCAGTGTCCACCACAGCTATGCTGAAGTGTCTGATCACTGGAGGTATGGACCTGGGATGGTTCTGCTCACCCACCTTCAGTTCTCCTCTCCAGGGAGTAGGTGCAAGGTGTCAGCGTGTCTGAGGGCTTCCATAGTACCAGCACGGTGTCCCGGTACCGCTGGGGGATCTCTGGCGTCCCAGGCTGATTTGGAAGACCTGGAGGAGACGGGGACTTGGTATGTACTGAGGGTGACATCACAGGGAGAGGCACTGACCACACGAGCATGAGGTTAATCCGGGGCGCAGTGTCACACCCACGTCTCTGTGCATGAGTATAGTATGTGTCCCTCTGCAAAGGTGACAGAGGGCCATCAAACCCCTTGGAGAGATGGGTAATGGCAGGTCTACAGGCAAACACTGCACCCTTAGGTGGGGGTCCCCATGCGGCAGGTGTCAGGAGGCAGCAGTGGGTCATGGTGGGTACAGCGGGTCATGGTAGGTACAAGAAGTCAGGGTGGGTACAGTGGGCACAGTGGGTCATAGCAGGTACAGGAGGTACAACAGGTCTACAGACAGGTACAGTAGGTCAGGACATGTCAGGGCAGGTTCAGTAAGCACAGTGGGCCAAGGTGCATCATAGCAGGTCAGGGGGGTCATTGCAGGTACAGTGGGTCACCGTGGGTAGAGAAGGTCATAGCAAGTACTTACGGGCGAGGGAAACGGTGCAGGAGCTGCTAACAGAGCCCAGGGGGTTGGTGGCCACACACTCATAAAATCCAGCATCCTTCTTGGTGGTCTTCATGATCATGAGGAGCTGTCGGCCGTCAGGGCAAGCGATCATGTTCATCCTGGCATCCACATCCAGAGGCTTCTTGTCTGTGAAGGAAAACTGAGTACAGCTGAGGCTCACAGGCTGGTGACGGAGGGCTCCCCTTATTCAGAAGTAAAAGTCTTGAGCAATCTCAATGGAACTCTCAGGCTCTGAAATAATGTGGTCATCGCCTGATCATTTTCATCTAAAATGATTGCATGGACAGTAGAATAGGATGAAATTCTTATTGTTGCAGTGAAGTAACTAGTGGGTCACTGTCACCAAATTTCAGTGAACTGTAGCTTGTGATGAAACATCTAGAAATGCATGATGAGGTGTGATGTCAGGCTGTGTTTGGAGGTTGAGAGAGAGCAGGAAACAATCTGTGGAATGATAATTAGGATGGGCTGGGCGGGGGGGTGGGGGCTCACCCTTCACCCAGGCAATCCGTGGGTGTGGGATTCCTGCTGGGAGGCAGCTGAGGGTCACTGGGTCTCCCTCCAGCAGAACATGGTCCCTCAGCTTGATGTGAAATACTGGAGGGAAATCTGGGGGGTTGACATTAGCCCTTAGATTTAACTACACAATATGACCAATTATATGGCCTGCCAGAAGAATCCCGGTTGTTATTCAGGTCCATTAGGGAGGCAGGAAATGTAAGTGGGTGTGTGGAAAACAGAAACAACACGGAAACTGAACAGAAGGTGAAGCTGATCATGAGAGACCTTCCAGTATAACCCCTGCTAACCTTGAGATCCAACAGGAACAGTCACTAACCAGCTAACTGGGACCAAAATGCAAATATCAGGAGTAGTATTAAAATGTTCCCCAAGAATGCCAGTTAGAATTATTTCTGTATAGATAACATCATTCAGACTGACAGAAACAGCCATGTATCTTTTAAAATAAACAACCTAAAAAAAGAAACAAGTATCAGGCAGCGTTTTGGTGCTATGCACCCCGTACCAGAGGCCAAGCATGAGTATTGGTTCCTCTGGAGGGCACCATTCCCCCGGACAATGGAGGACGGGATGTCTGTCTTTTCCTTCTTGCTCCTGCCCAGGCCCCAGCGGTCCCACCGCGACCGGCGTTCATCATCCAGTCCTTTAAATGAGAGTGCGGGCTGTTAGAGCAGCTAGCACACCGAAAAGCTGACACTGCGGTGAGGGCTCACCAACCTTGTGGACGAGAGTGGCCAGGCGACAGGCAGGCTCTCTTACCCTTCGCTGACTGCAAACTGGAGGTGGACTCAAGGGACTCCATGGACTCTCCAGCTCTTGGCTCTGCCACCTTCCGCTGGCTGCCTCCCTCAGAGCCCGAGCGGCGCAGGATGGAGATCAAAGGAGCCCTTCTGCTTTCTGGCTTGGCCTCCTTTTCTTCTGCCTTCCTCTCCTCCCTCCGTTCTTCAGACTGGCTCCGAATCCTCATGGAGATCCCAGCCACCGTGGACCCAATCTTCCGGCGCATAGCCAGCACTGGTGACTCACCAGATCTCCTAGGTGTACTGCTGCCTCCCTCGTCCTGTGAGCACTCCACCTCACCATCAGGCTCATTCTTCTCCTGGGACCTGCTGCGACCAACAGCCCAGGAGACTCTGCGCCTGGGTGCAGTGACGGTGGAGTTGGCCAGTTCCTCTCTATTCCTCTCATCCTTCCTGTCTGCTGATGGAGCCCTTTTCATCCGCAGGGAGAGCCTCCGCATGAAGCTCTCCTTCTCAGCTGGCCTGAGCTCCTGGACAGACATGGACCTTTCCACTAGCCTGGGTGTCTCATATCTGATGAACTCTAGGGGCACGCCTACAGGGCTTGGGCGGTACACCTCTTCATCGCCTGTAGGAGCTGACGTAACATTCACTTTCTCCTCAGTTTTAGGCTTGGTCAGCATCTTCAAGCCACGAGTTAGAGATGACTCACGTTTCTTGAACCTGGCTTGAAACACCTCCTCTGAAGCGATATCTTTGATGCTGGGGTTGAATGCCAGCTCCTGTAAGGGTATCGAGCTTGTGGGGGTCCTGGATCTCACCCTGGAGAACACAGCAGGATGTTCCAGTGAGGGAGAGGACTCGGGTTTGAGAGGGCTGATGGTGGGATTAAGGCTAGGTGCCTGGATAGGTGAGGGGGCAGGTGCTGGAACAAGTGCAGGCATCTCTGCAAGCTGCAGAGATGGAACCAGGATGGTTTGCATGATACTGGAGTATGCAGATGTCCTGCCATCTGGCAGCGTCACACGGCTGGGCTGGGTGGCAGGACTCACTGGGGTCTTACTGGGACCTGGTGTCACCACAATAGACTTGGTGGAAATGCTTATTTCAGGTGTTCTCTTCTGGCTCCTCACTTCTTTCTTAGTGCCTTCACACTCCTTTCTGTTTGCCTCTTCTCTCATCTTCTCTTCCACATGATCTGACTCTTGAATGACCCTGGGAGCTACTTCAGAATATGGTCTAATCTGGGCCTGCATTTCACGCTCCAGGGACAATGGTTTACTAATGGCCACCTTTTCTTGTTTGCCCTCTGGGTTCTCCAACATGCTAGATTTCCTTTCAGGATGACTCACCTGGGGAGTCTCCCCAGTGATGTCTGCTGCTTCATCTTCCATCCTGCTCTCTGTGTCTCCCAAAGCTTTTGCTTCCTTTCCTACTACTGTGCTCTGCTCAGGAGCCTCTGGAACAGGACTAGGTGGCTTGGAGCAAACTTCTCTGGGGGTGACGGGCCGTGAGTCCAGCCTGGCCTGTTCGGTCAGAGCTGACATGGATGTGGCCTCCTGGAGCCTCTGCTCCTCCCTCTGAGCCAGGGGAATCTCAAGAGGAGCACCAGAGCGTCGATGCAGGGGGATGGGCTCATTGTCTCCTTGGGTGAATGAGGCACTCTTGCAAAGCACCTTGGTCTTGACTGCCCCTACCCCCGGGGCTTCAGTGGAAGCTGCTTTGATGAGTGGGGGCACGGCCACCCGGCGTGGGTGCGTGTATCGGTCAAGTGACACAGTGCGTCTCTCATCCCCGATGCCAAGTGTCTCTAGCAGGGGGCCCCGGAGGCCACTCATCTTGTTGTCTCCCGAGCTGCCTCTGAGTAGTCTTTGCCTCATAAGCTCCAGTTTTAGAGCGTAGTCCTCCTGGCTCAGTCTCCCAGGGCTGGGACTAGGACTCCTCCTTGGTAATTCCATGGACACTGCCTTCTTCAGGCTTTTTCCCCCCTCTTCTTTGGGGGTAACTGTGGTACCCCCCTCTGGGGTGATGTGGAGCAGGAGGGCACTGTCAGCAGAGCTGCCCCTCCTCAGCTCTCCCCGTCTCTGGCTGCTCTCAGCCTTATCCGACTCCACACTTGAACCCCTACACAGTGGTCCCCTCATCTGCTTGGCCATCTGTGCTGACTCCTCTTCTGACATTGTGTCCCCTTCTTGCGCTTCCCTCTTCCTGGTCTGGCCTGTCCCTCTGCTGACCGGCTCACACTCCATGGGCTCCTCTGCCCCCACTGCCTCCAAGGCACTGCTGGTGGGTCTCCCCAGAACTTCATCATCAGCAGAAATCTCATTGAGGGACATGCGAGAGCCGGAGAAGGCCACAGTCAGAGGCATGGGGATGAAAGGCAACTCGTCCACGTCCTCGTCTGAGTCCGAAGAGGACGAGGGCGGGGGAGTACCCTCCTTCAGATGCCTAGGCACTGCAATGGAGATGTGGCTGGAGGAGTCATCCAGCACCTCTGGAATGGAGCGCATCACCATTTTGGATTTATAACTGATGAGTGAGCGCTGCAGAAGGCAGGGGACAAAGGTGGTGACACAAAGCACATGCCGTTTTAATTCAGGCACTGAAAAAAATATCCCCCCTCACCTGCCACTTCCTCCTTGACAAGAACTGCTTGAGAGACTCTGTGCTGATGCTTTTTCCCTTTGTCAACGTCTGTGAGAGATGGTTAAACCGTGTCAGAATCTGACTGGTGGAAGTGAACAGAAGCATCTAAAGCATGGAAACACTGAAAAGAAGCCATTGAGGTAGTGGAGACAAAGGAAGAGCAGGGAAGCCGGTAGAGTGAGTGTTGACTCATCACTGTCAACACAAAATAACACCAGCTACGCCAGTACTCTACACCACTTGGTCCACAATCTCACCTTGAACCAAGGATGACGAAGGCATTCATTTGTATCAGGTCTCCTGAGGAAAGTACAGATGGATCCAGTTAGAGTCACCAGAAACACAGAAAATCTGTTTTCATTGACAGTTAATTACCTTTCACCAGAGTATCTACGAGGACGCAAACTTTGCATAAACACCAGGTATGTCTGGTCAACCCGATCTCACGAATTTTCGTGCAGCCATCACGACATAAAATCTATTTAAACGTGCTGTGATCACGTTTTCGGCTTTTTTTACATGCTGGGGTAACGTTTCCCCTCCCTATGTGTTTTAATGGGCAGTGCCTAACACCGCCACTATGAGCGCCAACTGGTGACTAAGGGACGGGAAAGTCATGCATGGCCAGAATCATAGTAAAATCCAAGCGCTGTTTTGCAAGGTCGCATCACACGTTATGGAAAGCGTTATCAGATCACAAAAAACAAAATATGATTCTGACCATGCATGACTTTCCCGTCCCTTAGTCACCAGTTAGCGCTCATAGTGGCGGTGTTAGGCACTGCCCATTAAAACACATAGGGAGGGGAAACGTTACCCCAGCACGTAAAAAAAGCCGAAAACGTGATCACAGCACGTTTAAATAGATTTTATGTCGTGATGGCTGCACGAAAATTCGTGAGATCGGGTTGGTCTGGTTACATCTAAGTTACATCCTGCCCATGTAAACCCCACCCCCCCCAACTTGCCCCATGAACTCACAGCCTGTCAGCCACCAGTAGTTTTATGATGAAGCCCCGCCCCTCCCAGCACACGCCCGCGAACATGCCCTCCTCAAATGCCACGTTGTAGTTGCGCACGTTGAGGGCCGTGTCACGGTCATTTTCTCCAGCGAATGGAGACACGCCAGTCAGGCTGGGAGGACAAAAGAGCAGTTCCGTCAATCCTTCACCTATTTGACCTGTCCCTCAAACCCCATCACATTCACAAGGTACAACTGCAGAGCCCTGCAGATGTTAGACATACGGCTAACATACCACAAGTAGGTTATCACGCCGACAGGCCTGCCAAAAAAGCAAAGAGTCAGAAACAATAAAGTAGAAAAGACTATATTTAATGATTCTTCCATATACAGCATCAAGGCACCTCACCAGATATCTGTTGCCTTGGAGACCGGTGTTTGGTTAACAACCTCTGGGGCAATGAACTCGGGAGTGCCATATTTGCAGTAGTGGGTGTCACCAGGCGTGAGCTCTATGGCATTGCCAAAGTCGCAGATCCGGACCTGGTCACTGCTGCGGTCTGCCATGAGGATGTTCTCAGGCTGTTGGGGTTTTTCAAGAGACAGAGGTGTGTTACACGCCTGCCAAGTCACCAGGGCCAGTGGGAAGTCCTCAGAGTAGGGATGTAATGAAAAATGTAATATTGCGATATCGCGATAAAAAAATACCTCAAAACCGTTGTCGGACTGTTATGATATCAATTAGAATATCACATGGTCGTATAAGCTCATTTAGCTCGTATAAGCTCTGTCTCAAAAAATACATACTACATTAAAGAATGCTTTGTGCTCTATTGGCCTTCTGTAACCTACATGACAATAGGTCATTAAATCAATTACTATTACAGCAATCATTTATAAATTGGCCAAATGGAACCAAAACACATTTACAGTATATTAACAAAACGATAATTCATCTCTTTAAGAAAAAAGACAATTGTATGCAGATTGTGAGGTGATGTCACGACGTACCGACGTACGAGTGCGTTTTTTTTTGCAGAAGCGGTTGAGGCTGGCTAGAGTGAGTGCTAACAGCAGGCTGCGATAGGATTTAGAATACGGTAAAAAGAAAACTTGCTAAACTTAATTTTACAGCTTATGTGGTGTAAGAATATTTTTTAAATTAACTAAAGGAAAGGGAAGATGTAAGAAATGTTTTAAACCACGATAAATCGTTTTTTTCTGCACTACATTGACTCTTCCGAAGATCTGGAATGGATTTTTCTGCATGTGCTTTGCCGAACAAGGACCCACTGAACGGAGTTCATATCAGGATGGCGAGCTAGACCCATGGAGCAATGGTGAAGGATGAGTAGAGGGAACTTTGAATTTCTTACAACATGTGCAGTTAGGATATGATGTGCTGAATTGAACTGACTATTAACCTTTGGGCACTGTTATGCCTGAATTGAATGGTATATCAACCCTTGGATAGTGTTATGCCTGAATGGTATACGATGTGATTTTGTTTTTTCTTTTTATACATGTTGAATTTTGAGTTTCTTATGTGGGGGGAGGTTACTGATTTAAAGTAAAGATAAATAGGTGCTAAAGATACTGGATAGAGAATTTAAATAAGGAAATATTAGGTGATTATAAATAGACACAAAATAATTATTTCATACGATCTGTGTGCAGTTAAAAATGAGCAAAACTGAACTAGGATATGACTAGATTTAGATTTAGGATTAACTATGAATAATTGATTTAACCACTGGACTCAGAACCCAAAACAAACAATATCTGATTCCATACTTTAGAAAGAGGTAGATTTACTTTTTTCCATTTAAATGTAAATGTATATAAATGTATTCATGATTCTTCATGTTCTACAATTAATATTTAGTAAATGGCAGAAAACACTCCTTCGGAATTACAGATTGTGTTTTGATTAAAAGATAAAGCTGCTGCAATAAAAAAATAATATTTTATAAAGGAACTACAGACTGCTTGTTTTTGTTTTACAATTACATGCATTGTTCAGTCATTCATTGCAAAGGACAATTACTGCTAAGTTCTGGGAAATGGTTAAGGTCATAGCTGGATATTTCACTAATGAAGAAAAGCAGAAGCATTTTATGTTAAAAGGAAGAACTAATTTCATATAAATAAATATGTTGATTATTAATTATTAAAAGAGTTTTTTTCTTTTTAAATGTCGTGATAATTATCATATCATGAACCTTTTATAGTGATATTATCATACCATGAGTTTTTGGTATCGATACATCCCTACCTCAGAGAACAACTTACTTTAATATCCAGGTGCAGGATATCGTTCTGGTGCAGGTAGCCCAGTCCTTCTAACAGCTGCCTTATAGATGACCGGATCTACAGCAACGGGAGTCTTTATGTTAGCCAGGCCTCCCAATCCATGTAAACAGCAAATCTGCATGTGTTTAAGTCTGATTCCCACTGGACCTGCTGCTTTAAACATATAGACTAATATGGATGAAGGTGAAACTCCAAAAGCACAAAGAGGACACAGGGCCATCCCAAAACCTATAACAATATATTTTAATACATACTTTTAGTTACCCATAGCTGTCATGCTCAAAGGTATAAGCCAGGGTGGCTTACCAAACTGAAGTCAGCGTCTTATCACTAAAGGTCACCCTCTGGGAATCAGACTTTCTTACCTCACACTCCATGATGGATGACTTCTTTGCTATTCTGTCCAATAGTTCTTCATGACACCTTTACACAGTGGTCAAGGAAAGACCTACATTCAGTCAAGAGAGCTGCTATCATATCAGGCCTCCATAAAGACACAAGCAGAAGTTGGAGCTGAGGATAGACTAGTTCACTGCGGGAAGGAGCACCTTATCCTTGGTGAGATGGTACGTTATCTGTGGTAAACAATCATGAAAAACCCATAGGGATACAGCTCAGTGACAATGACGATGACATTCTTCTTCTCGAAGGCATCATGAAAGTAGATGATCCTCTCATGCTCCAGCCGCAAGAGTAGCCTCATCTCCCTCAGGGCGGACGTCTTCCTCTTGGCACGGACTGAGACGAACTTTGCTGCAAACTCTGCCTTGTTGGCTTTCTGTGTCACCCGCTTCACATAGGAGAAGGCCCCCCTGGAGAAACAGTGCATTGGACCACAAAAGGGGGAGGGATCACCAGTTGGTATGGATATCATCTGTCTGTCTATGTATGAACATTGCTGTCATGCCTTTCAAGAAGAACCTACAGATCTACAGTATATGGTCAGACAAAGGTATCATACTGCATGATGAGTTCCTGAAATCTACGTTCATGTTCCATCATGTTCCTCATTGTTCTACTATGTTTCATTATTTTGCTCCTTCTGCCAGGCACTCACCTGCCAATCTCCTTGTGGATGTCATAGTAGTCTGTGAGCCTCCTCATCTTCCTCAGAATGGTCTCCTCACCTTCCATGGGTTCCTCTGTTTCCTGCTTGGCAGCTATCGGAACATCACACATCCTCATGTTAGGAGACCTGATGATGCACACTGTTGCTGGTTTTACTTCAAAACCCAATTAAAATCTCTCAAAGGATGACAATTTTATCAAGTCATCATATAGTCACCTTTTACCTAATTAAGCTATTAAACTCATCGTATAATGAGAAACAGCCTGTCACTGCCTGAACGATATAATCGTCATTTTTATCTCAGAAACTAGATGTTAATCTTCATTGGACCCTTATTCAACATTCATGGTATTTCTTTTACAGCCTGTTATTTTCTAGCGGTCCTGAGCAGGAGTGTGTGTTAGATCCAGATGACTGAATTCAGAAGCTTCTGGGGACTTTGTGGGACCATGTCAGACTGAAGACACTGTGCCCTCACCCACAGTACCCCACCTGTGAGCACAGTGAGCTCAGCCTTGCAGGACATGGAGCCGGCCAGGTTCTGGGCCGTACAGGTGTAGACCCCTGAGTCCTCCTCCTGTGTGTTGAGGATCACCAGCGAGCACTCTGTGTCGTCGTACACAAAGGTGAAATGGCTGCTCTCTGACAGCAGCATGTCATCCTGGACAACAGGAACATTTGAAGAACATAGAGCAAATGCTAAACGTAACATCATAAAGACAAACAGTGAGCCCATTTCATGCCAATATTGTGTGAATATGAAAGTGATGGGAGGCAGGGTTTGACCATTGAAAGCTTAAGTGAAATCAGTTATGCATAATTTCCAGCAGAAACAGAGCTGAAGGCTAGCTGATGTCAGTATGTATTGTACTTATGGAACTGGATTTATGAGGAATATGGTGCAGGTAAATATGTCACCCACTGAACACAAATCTGGAGGTCACAAATAGAAAAGGAGCAGGAGCAGTTAGGCATAAATGACTGCAGCTCATCATCCCATCTATAACTCTCCTTCCTGAAGCATTGGGGAGCTTTGGTAAAACTAACAGACATCGGTGATGCCCACCTTGTACCACATGATATCAGGGATGGGCTTGCCGTAAACGACCACCACCAAGCGGGATGTCTCCCCAATATGCACATCCATATCCTCCATGATAGACTCAAATGTGGGCGGAGCTAAGAAAAGACCATGTGAAAAAGCACAGCGGTCATCCACGAAGAGATTACCCACAATTCTTAGGGAACAAAACCAGGCATACCTGCAAGACCAAGGACTGAAGCTATTTCTGGAAGGTTGTGTGTGTAAAATATTTTTTTGTCAACATATAGACTATTGATACCTAATTACTGGGCACAGAGAAAATTTATTTATCCTTAAATAAATAAATTTATTTATTTATTTATCCTTTATCAAATTAAACTTAATTGAATATAAATTAATATTTTAAATTGTCAAATGATTTGTTGAGTATTTAAATATATGCAGCTGGAACAAGAGCCTTTATAGGTTTGTCCTATCAGGATCATCCTTGTGACAGATTTCCCACAATCCTGCATTATGGAGGGGTACTAGTAAGAGGGCAGACCTGCCATGTCCAGCATGAGGATGCAGGAGTCATTGCCGAGTGGGTTGCTGGCCACGCAGATGAGCTGGCCCACGTCGCTAGCCCTGGCTCTGCTGATGCAAAGGGTATGCTGGTTGTCATCGGGCATGCTCAGTTCAAACTCGCCAGGTTTGTTCTCCAGCTGCACTCCATTCCTGCAGATGGCAAGCAGTCACAATGAGTGACAGGTTTATTAAAAAGGGGGGAAAGGTTTATGTAGACGGTGAATCATGCTGACCTTACACAATGGCACAATGTCAGCATGAGAGAATGTGAAGTTCTGGCTTTACAGGAGAGATGAATGCATTTATTAAATTAATGAAAGATGGCCGTTTGGGTTGAGAGAGAGTGTTCAGACCACCTGCCTTTTCCAGATGACTGAGGCTTGGACATGGTTCAGAGTTACGGTCATGTTAACTGGCTGATTCTCAACCATGTAGACGATATCTGGCTTGTCGATAAGGACGGGAGCTTCTGGAAGATATGGACCTGTGTGAAAAGAAGGGTCGGGGAAAGTCAGGGGGGCTGTGGGTCCAGATGGATGCAGGGTCAAGTACCAGAACCACACCAAACAGCTGAATATCCATACTAATCCTGAAAGAGGCCTAAATGAGGTTAGATACTATAATATACTATATTATTGTCCTCATGTCATACCTCTTTCCACAAGCTGTAGGGGATCTGTAGAAGGTGAGGGCTTGCTCAAAGCCTTGCTAGTAGCAGAAAGGACCCTGAAGCAGTACTTCACCCCCTTGCAAAGCGATGTTATTGTGTAACATGTTTGTTTCAGGCTGGAGGCGATGATGCTCCACTGGTTTGAGCCCACAGCTTGCTGCTGCACAACAAACATCAGGGAACTGGAGTCTGCAGTAAGAACAACATGTCAGGTCACACTCTGTGTGATGCTGACATTGCTCTTTTTCACTGATCATGCACCACATTTGTCCTCCTATAGGTCACAGGGTTTCCCACTGTGAATGTGGAGGCTCAGCCAGCAGCAGACTGAAGGAGCAGGTAATGATGTAGCTGAACACTCTGTGGCTGTGAGCTTGATGAGGACCAGCCTTGGAGACAAACATTTCCCTGCCAGAAAGTACAACTCAGAACTGAAGCAGGATTCTGTAACTGCAGACTGGACTAGCATAGACAGTACCTATAGATGGGTGCAGTCTTTTGGGTTTGTTCCAGCGCAGGCTGATAATCTTCCCGGTGATGGCCTCTACAACTGGAGGCCCATCAGGAGGCTCTGGTAGGATATCTGCAGAGAGGACACACCAGAGACCTTACACATACACACTGAATATTCTGCAAAACAATAATTAATAATTAAAAAATAATTCGGGGCTACACAGGGTTCCGTGAAAGTACAGAACTGCAGATCTCACCTGTCACATAGAGGTGAGCATAGCAGGTGGCCTTTCCCACCCTGTTAGAGATGACACTCTTGTAGACACCACCATGGGTGTGGCAGACCATACGAATGACCAGGCTGTGCACATCTTGGTCTGCAAGAGTCCAAACAAAGACAGACGTCTTTGACAGACGTCAGTGATGGCTGCTCATTCAGCTCCAAGACACCTGACCTGGGCTTGACTCAGTTAGCATGAGACTGGACCTAAATGGAGTGAGACCTGATTAACTGCCTGGTCATGTGACACATGCAGCCAGGCCACCATAGATTGTGAAAGAAGCCTAATGTCTTCCGGCACACTGGGAGCTGTCACACCCACTCACGCTGTACCATCTTCCTGTCATCTGTGCTGTCAATCTTGTGGCCGTTGTGAAACCAGGCGATGGAAGGGTACGGCAGGCCAGCTACCTGGCAGCGCAGCACAGCCTCCCTACCCTGCACCACTTCCAGGTCAAACAGCGACTTCACAAAATCTGGCATGGTGTAGCGCTCCACCTCACTCTCCACCACCTCTGGCTCCTCTGGGATGGATGGCATCTTCTCCAGCTTTGCCCTGCAGGCCACCAGAGAAGAGGAGCACAGAAGAAGAGAAAGAGATTGTCATGTGTAGCATATTCATGCTCCTTCATATCTGTTCATGTGATCTTCATGTCATCTGCTCTCCTTGGTCACCTGTCTGATGAGAACCGCTCATGTGCATGTTGTAAGTAGGTATCTCAGTAAGAATCACAATAATGGCAAACAGCATGAATACAGGGAACTAGGTATTTGGTTTTCTGCACGGAACAGTCTGTGTTTTTATGGGTGTTACCTGGGAAACAAAGAAACCCATGGAAGTATTAATTTGCCTACTGATGTATTACTTAACTTTAGGAAAAAGTTTCATGGCTGCAGGTATAGAACTCTGTTAAAAAGGCTGGTAACACATTCATGGCAAGGCAGCAGTATGCATAATTACTTCCATTGTAGTTATTGTTCTAATAGTTATAATGGCAAAATGGGACAGGCATAAAACAGACGCCTACATTTGCGAGGAGATGGTGGGCCTGGGTTCCTGCACATACAGCTCAGCAGAACTCTCTGCCATCCCATGCGCGTTATACGCCACTGCTGTGTACAGACCCTCGTCGCTGCTGCTGGCATGCAGGATGAGCAGGGAGTGGCGGCCCTTGTCCTTCAGCATGCGCACGCTTTCACTGTCTGTAAGTGTGAGGTCTGGGGGGAGGGAGTGCATCAGTAGACAATACACCTCCCAGACAGGAGGGGAAATCACACAAATCTAATATACTGCAGTAATTTCATCAGAAATCACAGTGTAGCAACTGCACAGTGGGAAGAAGGGGGGAGTGTGGAACAAAATAGGGGAGTGTAGAACAGCATAGAAGAATGTGGAACAGAATAGGGGGAGCATGGAACAGAAAAGAATGTGAAAGAGAAGATAGAATAGAGGAATGTGGAACAGAATAGAGAAATTTGGAAAAAAAAGAGTGTGGAACAGAAGAGGGGAGCGTGGAACAGAAGAGGGAAGTGTGGAAAAGAAGAGGGGAGTGCAGAACAGAAGAGGGCAGTAGGAACAGGAGAGGATCATGGAACATAATAGAGGAGTGTGTAACAGAACAGAGGAGTATGGAACAAAAGAGGAGTGTGGAACAGAAAAGAGAATAGGACGGAATAGAGGAGTGTGGAACAAAAGACAGGAGCATAAAATAGAAGAGAGGAGTGCAGAACAGAACAGAGGAGCATGAAGACAAAATAGAGGCGTGTGGAACAGACTAGAGGAGTGTGGAACATTACAGGGGAGTATGGAATAGAATAGAGAAATTTGGAATAAAAGGAGTGTGGAACAGAAGACGGGAGCGTGGAACAGAAGAGGGAAGTGCTAATATAATGCCCATATTCAAACAAGGGGATAGAAGTAATCCAGTAAACTATAGGCCAATCAGTTTAACTAGCATTACTGGAAAAATAATGGAAGCTATAATCCAAGTGAAAATGGTAGATTACCTGGATGCAAATAACATTCTGAGGGATAGCTAACATGGATATAGGAGAGGTAGATCCTATTTAACGAATTTACTTGAGTTCTTTGAGGAAGCTACAAGAGAAATTGATAACAAAAACGCCTACGATGTGATCTACTTAGATTTCCAGAAGGCCTTTGATGTTGTCCCCCACAAACGGCTCTTGCTTAAGCTCAAAGCTGCAGGGATTTTAGGAACTGTAGCAGCTTGGATCAAAAACTGGTTAACTGACAGGAAACAGAGAGTAGTTATTAGAGGCACAATGTCACAGTGGGCCTGCATTCATAGTGGGGTACTGCAGGGTTCAATTTTAGGACCACTATTGTTCCTCTGTTTAACTTCAAGCAAAGGAGACTAAGGGGGGGACATGATCCAGGTATATAAGATTCTAACAGGTCTGGATACTGTTTGGCCAAATGGATTTTTCAATATTAGTTTAAATACTAGAACTCATGACCATAAGTGGAAATTAAGAGGAGAACATTTTAAAACAAATTTGAGGAAGCAGTTCTTTACACAGCGTGTAGTTAGAGTATGGAATAGTTTTCCTGCTAGTATAGCGGAAGCTAAAACCCTGGGTTCCTTTAAATCAGAGCTAGATAAGATTTTAACAACTCTGAGTTATTAGTTAAGTTCTCCCCAAACGAGCTTGATGGGCCGAATGGCCTCCTTTCGTTTGTAAATTTCTTATGTTCTTATAACAGAAGAGGGCAGTAGGAACAGGAGAGGATCATAATAGAGAAATGTGGAACAGAATAGGGGAGTATGGAACAAAAGAGGAGTGTGGAACAGAAAAGGAAAGTGCGGAATAGAAGAGGGGTGTGTGGAACAGAAAAGAGTATGGAACAGAATAGAGGAGTGCGGAACAAAAGAGGGGAGTATGGAACAGTAGGAACAGAAGAGAGGAGCATAAAATAGAAGAGAGGAGTGCAGAACAGAACAGAGGAGTGTGGAACAGGGTTCTGCTAGACTTGTCTGGTATTTGCCTGAATATTTGGCAACTCCTTACCAAAGTGCTTCCAGATGATGTTAGGGGATGGCGTTCCGCTGACCTTGCAGTCAAAGCGAGCCGTTCGGCCTTCCAGCACCTCCTGCACATCGAGCTTACGGGTGAACATCGGCTCGGTGGATGGGATCACTTTGAGGTAGGCGCTAGAAGTTAACTCCACTGGAATCATTAGCAGAAGAAAAGAGCCCATGATCTACTGAAGCATACAAATACGCTTCTTCAGATGCCACCCTGCACTTTTCCATGATGATGCTGAATGTGACTTCCATGCTGTTGTAATTCTTTGTAGGATTAAGCAATCTGTCTGAAGTCTGAGTGTCTCTGCTTTTTCTTCTGAATTCTAGCATGTGTGAAGTTATTAAATAAACAAAACTAGAAATAACTGCTATATGAATATGAATGCTGCTTTGATTTAAACAGATGTACCTGTATATGCTAAACTATCAACTGTCACAATCCTGACTGGCTTAGTGGTAAGTGAACATGAATAAAAATATGGATGGTGTCTGGAGGAGGTCTGTGCCAGGTAAGAGCAGCACTCACCCTTAGCAGTGCTCAGCTTGCAGGTGTACGTTCCACTGTCATCTTCATGGACGGAGTTGAGCAGCAGGCGGCATGTGCTACCATCAAAGTGCATCTTGCAATTGAGCAGCGCTGGTTGGATCAGCTTCCTATCTGACAGCCAGTCTACATCAACATCTGGGGAACCTGACATGTAGCACTCGAAGAGAGCAGTCTCCCCAGCCTTCACTGTCACATCTGTAATCTCACGGGTGATGGCTAGGCCTGAATCTACAGGGGGCACTGGGAGAGACAGTGTAGGTCATTTTGTTACAGTCTACACTGAGCAAGACATTGCAGGTCATTCTATTATGCTGTACACTGGATGAAAAAGTGCAGGTCATTCTGTTATGGTATTCAGTGGGGGAGACAGTGTAGGTCATTTCGTTGTGGGTCTTCATCAAGTGAAAAAGTGCAGGCCATTAGATGACAGTTTACAATGGGAAATACAGGGCAGGTCATTCTGTTATGGTCTATACCAGGTGAGACAGTGCAGGTATTTCTGTTACGTCTGCACCATGGAGATAATGCAAGTAATTCTGTTACACTCTGCACCGGGGAGGATTCTCCATTATAGTCCACAGTGGGAGAGAAACAGCATGACTTTAAAATGTGAAACAAGTTTGCAGATTGTTCTGGTAACTTGAATAAAGCTTCTTTAATTCACTTTAGTAAATCCTTGTCTCCTCAACTAAGTGATGGCTTCTTTTTATATGGCGTCCTTAGTTTCTCTTGTGTTACTATTATTGCATTTGTTCACTGCTGTTAGTTCATTTAAGCCCTGAGTTTCTGAGGAAAGCTCCAGCCCTGGCATTTGTGTGACATCAAAGTGGGAACCAGGGTCAGCCTCAGAGAGGCTTTGGATAAAATGTGTCATCCATATTTAATGGCTGCCAGGTCCAAAGTGTTTGAAAGCCCTGGGGGGTGCTCCATGGGGGCCCACTGGGAGGGAGGCAGCAGGTCCTGATTTAATCTTTTCAAATGAAGCCTTGTCAATGTGGCAGTATGCTGCCGCATGGCCGAAGTACATGAATATGATAAATATGTAACCACAACTAGTGTGAGTAAACAAAATGTGTAAATAAAAAGAATTACAGATTATTTTCTGTATAGTTTTCTGCATCATTAACTGTGCCTGCTGACTTATTGAGTCGTTATTGAGTCCAGCATGGAGGACTTAACATTCACAGAAGCAATAATGACGAAGGCGTAACGCATGAAGCCTTTTCTAATGGAAACATGAAACTTTCAGTACTGCTGACCAGTGATGCGAGCTAGGTGCAAGGGAGGTTCAGAGCATACTCTCACCTAAGACCTCCAGGTGGCAGTCACACTGCTTCATGCCGTACTCATTGACAATCTTGCAGGTGTACAGCCCTGTGTCAGTCTTCTGAGCTGCAGTTATTTGCATCTCAAAGCTGCCATCCTCTGCCTCCTGCAGAGTGTGCCGATTGGAGGCTTTTATCACCAGCCGGCCTCGTAGCCTGAAAACACAGACAGCGGATTTTAGGGGAGATCCATCAACAGAGAAAGTGTGCAAGTGTATTCAGAGAAAAATATGCTTTAAGCTCTTTGGATGGAGAATCAAAAGCTCATGAATTTTCCCCCTCTCTGGAAGGTGTTTCATTCCCAATCAATTGTCTACTGCAGAAGATAAAACTAACTGTGTAAGGCTGAGGAACCCACCAATAGATCAACGGTTTGGGCTGTCCCTGCACGCAAACTCTCATGGTGATATCATCCCCCTCGGTCCCCACCTGGTCGTTTAGGGTTACCTGTCAGACATGTATGTGGGATGAAGAAATAAGCCACACGATTCTGCTGTATATGAAGCCTATTTGCTAAATGAAGTTATCGGTGAAAAGATAACTAACCCTAACCTGACCCAGATTCAGCAGGGGTTCATAAGCATCTACAAATCAAAATTCAAGCCTAGTTGTTTTGCCATTTAAAGGCTTTGGGACACATTTTCTCACTGCCTTAGAAACGAGGGCATGAGAGCATGAGGCTGCACCCCCTTTACCTGGAATGACGGGGCTTCCCTGAATGCTACGTCCACCGCCCGCCTGGACTCAGGCCCCCGACATGACCCTCCCTCTGCCTCCATGCCCTCCTCCAATGGGCTTAAACGTTCTTCATTGGATGTGATGGCACTGCTGAGGTCTGAGGGAACACCATGGACTCTTTGCTGGTCTTCTGCAGGCTCTGTCAGGTAGCAGGGAGTCAAACTATGGCTAGGCAGGGAGTCAGACTTTGACTCTCAGACATACAGACTGTGACTCTATCAGATAAACAGACAGACTGTGAATTTCTATTAGACAGGTAGACTGTGACTCTCAATTAGACCGGCAGATAGTACCCTTCTATCTACAGGCAGTAGGGACTCTATCAGACAGACTGTGACTCTCTTTTAGACAGGCACTGTGATTCTATTAGAAAGACAGACAGTGACTATCAAACAGGCAGACAATGAATCTTTATCAGACAGACAGATAGGGACTATCAGACAGAGACTCTATATCAGATAGACAGACTGTGATTATCAGACAGGCAGACAGTTACTCTTTATCAGACAGACAGACAGTGAATCTCTATCAGACAGACAGACAGTGAATCTCTATCAGACAGACAAGAATTATGCAGAAGCAAACAGCAACTTATGGACTTGTTTAAGAAATGCAAAATTACAATTCGTGCTTCTAAGAGTTTAAACTTTTGTCTTCCAAAACCATACGTGCAAGGGTTAAACTTTAGATTCATTCAAATCTAAATCAGGTGAACAAACACAAGAGTTCAGATGAAGTCTTGCAGTCCTAAATCACAGATGATTAAGAAAATTCCCAGGAAATATGGGCACAGCTCTTCCTGGCCTGAAGGGGCAGCAATACTGAGAAAACAACATCTGGCCAGGTTCCCAATTTTAATGTACAAACCCAACACGCTTCAGGGTGGTCATTGAGCAAGTCAAGGGACAATGATGTGACAATCTGACTATTAGCAAGAACAAAGAGTTCTACATCACTTAAGAAAGAGAAAAACAAAAATAGAACCAAAGTATATCGGCGAACAACAAAGGAGTGTAAGCTTCACACACAGGCATGTGCACACAAGGTGCATAGAAGGTGAGAAGTGGGCAACTGTCTGTTTGAAAACGTGAGGGGCGGGGAGGACCAGGCACGTCCAGCCCATCCCAGACAAAACATCTTAAAAGGCACTAAATGATATTAAATAGATCTGAGAGCTACTCAGCATTTCAGGTTCACTTGCTGTTTGAAAAGGCCTGATGCAGATTTAGTCCAATGAGTGTACAGAAATTACTCTAACTGCAAGGCGTTTCCTGTAAGCATCAGACAGTGTGAGCCGGTGAGCAGTAAACAGTGAATGGTGAGCAGTGAACAGTGAGAAGCAATGAATGAATGGTAAACAGTGAGTAGTAAACTGCAAATAGTCAGCACTGAGCAGTAGTGAACAGTGATATGAACTTACCTAGCCCTACATCCCTGTCCTGCTCGTGTCTGAACACCAGATACTCATGTATGGCTCCATGGTGTGTCAAACTTCAGTTACATCTCTGTGAACTTTCCAGTGGCAGCACAAGTGACCCAAAGTGGGGCTGGAAGTTTGTGCAGCAGAGTCCCACCCCCACCCCTCCCCCTCTCCCTCACCACCACCACCCCCTTGCTCACCCAAACACAGAAAAGGGCATTCTTATGCTATTGTGGAATTTCTCACTACAGCAGCTAACAGAGGAGCCCTCTATTGCACAGTTTACTGTGTTTCCTGCCTCTCTATTTATTAGGACAAGCCTGTACTCTGCAGACTTTATAGTGAGACCTGGCCAGCAGTCTGCTGGATTAGCACTGAAAGTAAGCGAGCTCAGCGTAAATAACAAGCAGAGTGCATCATTCAGGGGGTCACAATGTCAATATGCTAAGGACCCTGCGGCCTGAGAGCGCACGGAGCTGGGGGAAGCCAACATCAATTGCATGGCGAGATGGGAAACCGGCTACAAGTGAGAAGCCCTATAAATACACTGGTATCTGGTGCCCTAATAAGGTAAAGCATCCCCTTCCCTGCTGTGTGGTGAGGCCGTGGTAAGGCTGTGCATAGACCCTGCGGAATGACGGCCTAGCAACTTCTGCAAGGTCCTGCCGACACAGTGCGCAGATACAACTCATTGCAAATGCAGTTCAGTAAACATGCAACTCCACGCAGACACAGGTCAGCAAACAAGTAGCTCAGTGCAGACGCAGCTTAGCAGAGATGCAGCTCAGTGCTGTACATCTGCAGACGTTTATTACTTGCAAAAGTTAAGAAATAAGGATTTGGCTTGTATTTTCAGCTCATTTTCAAATAACAGTATGTTTAATTGACACAGACGAAAATGGTATTTTCCATCATATTATCATTAACTGATAACATAATGATAAAATATGACTGTTCCCCTGGGTGATCTGTCACATCACAGGGTCATGTCATGCCCATTGACTATGCTGGCTAATATACACTCACCTAAAGGATTATTAGGAACACCTGTTCAATTTCTCATTAATGCAATTATCGAATCAACCAATCACATGGCAGTTGCTTCAATGCATTTAGGGGTGTGGTCCTGGTCAAGACAATCTCCTGAACTCCAAACTGAATGTCAGAATGGGAAAGAAAGGTGATTTAAGCAATTTTGAGCGTGGCATGGTTGTTGGTGCCAGACGGGCCGGTCTGAGTATTTCACAATCTGCTCAGTTACTGGGATTTTCACGCACAACCATTTCTAGGGTTTACAAAGAATGGTGTGCAAAGGGAAAAACATCCAGTATGCGGCAGTCCTGTGGGCGAAAATGCCTTGTTGATGCTAGAGGTCAGAGGAGAATGGGCCGACTGATTCAAGCTGATAGAAGAGCAACTTTGACTGAAATAACCACTCGTTACAACCGAGGTATGCAGCAAAGCATTTGTGAAGCCACAACACGCACAACCTTGAGGCGGATGGGCTACAACAGCAGAAGACCCCACCGGGTACCACTCATCTCCACTACAAATAGGAAAAAGAGACTACAATTTGCACAAGCTCACCAAAATTGGACAGTTGAAGACTGGAAAAATGTTGCCTGGTCTGATGAGTCTCGATTTCTGTTGAGACATTCAAATGGTAGAGTCAGAATTTGGCGTAAACAGAATGAGAACATGGATCCATCATGCCTTGTTACCACTGTGCAGGCTGGTGGTGGTGGTGTAATGGTGTGGGGGATGTTTTCTTGGCACACTTTAGGCCCCTTAGTGCCAATTGGGCATCGTTTAAATGCCACGGCCTACCTGAGCATTGTTTCTGACCATGTCCATCCCTTTATGACCACCATGTACCCATCCTCTGATGGCTACTTCCAGCAGGATAATGCACCATGTAACAAAGCTCGAATCATTACAAATTGGTTTCTTGAACATGACAATGAGTTCACTGTACTAAAATGGCCCCCACAGTCACCAGATCTCAACCCAATAGAGCATCTTTGTGATGTGGTGGAACGGGAGCTTCGTGCCCTGGATGTGCATCCCACAAATCTCCATCAACTGCAAGATGCTATCCTATCAATATGGGCCAACATTTCTAAAGAATGCTTTCAGCACCTTGTTGAATCAATGCCACGTAGAATTAAGGCAGTTCTGAAGGCGAAAGGGGGTCAAACACCGTATTAGTATGATGTTCCTAATAATCCTTTAGGTGAGTGTATACTAGCTTAGTTTAACCAATGTATTTTCGCTCTCAGCACCTCGCTGAATGTGACTCCCTGGGCCAGCATAGCTGCTCTGCAACCCTCTCTGTCATCTTGGACTCATTTCTATCAGTTGCTATCATTTTTGTCTAGAAGGCAAATTACACTTTGACACATACAAGAAGTACCCACATAAAATCAAAGTCAGCTATACTGCCCACAAAAGCAAAACACAGTATTGACACTAACACTGTTTTTTGACTGTCCACCCAAATGTGTACCAGGTAGGTAAATAATATTTTCTTCAAAACTGCATATAGCTGAACAAAACCATTTTGTCAAAAGACAAAACAGAGCCTAAGAGACCCAGTTTCAGTCATAACTCAGTATTGATAAAATATGAGGTTACAGTGTTCTGTCTTTGTATGCAGTATAGACAACAAACAACATATGTTTTTGTTATTTAATACATCACTGTGCAGTTTTAACGGTGTGATCTGCATTGATATGGTAATTATCAGCAGAGTTAGAGCTGTGATAGATGAGAATGGTTGTAACAGGAGGCTGATGGATAGGCATGAGGAGACCAGACCAGACCAGACACATTGTAGATGAAGCCCCGAAACTCACGTCACTGCTATTATATAATGGACATGGAATGACACAGTGGCTTCACATGTGTAAAGCATTTGTCCATGTGCACAGTGACCTTTTACCTCTTGGTTGCCTACTGTCTCTAGTAACTAATATTCACATACTTTGACATTGACTTTGCTATGATGAAGTCTGTTGAATCTGTTTTAGCTAAACGGAGAGGCCATTCACTTATTCGCAGGTGATGTGGCAGGTTTCACACCATGAGCGGTTCGATGAAAGTGATTTAGCATTTTAAAATCTTCTCCATGAGGTATCCAACATTCATCACATATAGGTTAACTGGAAAACCATTCATGCTCTTTTCATTCTGCATGTTCCCGTATCTTCCCCTTTCATCCTTGAATTTCCACTCACCTGATTTGATAAAGAGCATAGCGCTGCAGGATGTCCGACCTGTGCAGTTGGCAGCCATCACTGTGTATGACCCGACATGGCTGGCATTCAGCTGCTCAATCACCAGTGAGTGTCTGTTCCCCTCCATCCTGATCGAGTGCATAGGGCTGTTCTTTATCTCCGTGTTACCCTTCCACCAGGTCACTGGGGTAAAACACATAAACATTTGATCTCTCTTAGCAATCCTGCTCCAGTACTCTCCCATTCTGTGAAGTTTGACAGCTCAACCCTTTACAGAGCACGCTTATTACTGGATTAAAATGTTTTATGCTTAAATATATGTTTAGAGCTGAACCCTTAAAAAGTACTTGCCTGAGAATGGCACCTAAAAGCTAGAGGAATTGTTCTCATAAAATCATATTAACCAAGAAAGTCTTGATTGAGTGCTAACCCTATCCTTAATATAACCCAAAATGTCTAAACACTGGAGCAGAAAGGGTAGTGGTCACTTGCCTTCTGGCAAAGGGATACCAGTAATAATGCACTTCAAGACCACCTCTGAGCCAGCCGACACCACGGTGTCCTGCAGAGGGGACTCGAACATGGGGGCCTCCATGGTGTCCTCCCCTCCTGACTCATATAAGACATCCATGGAATCTGCATGAAGGCCTCAGATGATGTGGGGTGATGGGTAATCTGAAATGTCTATACAACTGTGATGCTTCACTGTAATAATGAACTAATGGATTGATAAATTCAGACATATAAGTAGAGCTTCAAAGCAGAAAACTGAAAGGAAAAATGTTAGAATGGTCACCTGTATCAGGAGACAATGGCTTGGCATGGTGGACCTTCCCCATGCCTGTCCAGGACCTCCATCCCTCAGTAACTTCAGCTTTCTCTACCTGGTTTTTTAACATGAGAACATCCTCTTTCATAGGATCTTCTTCCACAATGATAATAGGGATGGAAAGCCTGTGAGCTAGAGATGCAGGTATTAGCTGTGCCTCCCTCGTCTCTTCCTTTGACATTGGGCTAGTGGTTGAAGAGACAGAGCGTAAAAGCCTTGGGGGTTTTGGTGGTGGCTGAGTGGGACGCTCTTCAACATGGGGAGGCTCTGTCTGAACAAGTGATTTTACTTGGGTCTGGTCCACCTTGGGTATGGATGGCTGCACCTTCCTGGGGGGTGACTTTTCTTTTGGTGGTTGAGAAGGTGTCTGATCTTTGGATGTGTGTGACATCTCTGTTGATGCCTCCTTGACTGGGATGCTTCTTTGTATCTGCCTTGAGGAACGCTGCCCAGGGAGCTCAGCAAGTGGCTTGCTTTCAGAGGAGTTTGACTTCTCCCCAAGCCTACTCACTGTTATGCTGATCACTGAAGATTTCATTGTGTCTGGTCTATGGTTTGATTCTTGTTGAGGATTCAACTGGCTCTGATGCAGTCGTCCTTCAGGAGATGACGGTGATTTTTGCACTAATGACTCTGTGAGTTGCTCTCCCTGCTCCTGCTGCCATTGGATGCGTTCTCTGTCTTGCAGTTTCTGTAGGACCTGGGGCGGGATGGGCTCCAGCTTTCTCAAAGGTTGCCGTCCATGTTGGTGCACCTGCTCTGTGGAAAAGGACTTTTTCATATGGGATTTCCCCATCAGGTTCTTGATTCGCTGGAGCTCCTGTGTGAACTTGTTCTCAATCTCCTGGACCTTCTGGGAGTAATGGGACCTATCCTCCAGGGAAGCAGCCCTCTGGCGGAAACTAGACCGCCGTTCTGCAGCATCAGCTTTCAGTGTCTCTCGCAGGTCCTCTCTGGAGTTTTCTCTGGAAATCCTCAACCGGCTTCCCCCATCGTCTGAGTCAATGGATGCGGCCTGGTTGAATCCAGCCCAAGAGCGCCCAGAGATGGAGCCTTCAGTGTGGTCAGTGCTCCTTCTCCTTTCCTCGAAGACTCGTACCTTCTCAAAAATTTTGGAACTGGGTCTACCCACTTTAGCCAAGGGCCAGTGAGTCTGGTCCTTCCAGGAGCCCTCACTGATGGGAGTCTGAGGACGGGAGTCTTGGGCACCAGACTGAGATGCTGCTGAGGCTTGGGACTGCTTGATCGTCTCCTCAAAGTCTCCTGACACTATGTCTTGGTAATTAGTTGGTATGAGAGTGACAGCTTTTTTGCGTTCAGAGGGGGATCTGGCAGGGATCATCCCAAAACGGATTGGCAAGGGAGCAGCAGCTGTACGCTGGCTAATTTGGGGAGGGGACAGAGTGGGAGGTGGGTGGACTTGGGTCTTAACTTCACTTAGAGTGTCTTCCGACTGGCTCCTGGAAAAGGTGTTTAAAGGAAATGTCCTGTCAGGGTAAAGGTCTGTCATGGGAGGGAGCCCAGCTGGTTGGCCCAGTTTGGAGTTATGTGCCTGGGGAGTAAGCAAACGGGGTGGTTTTCTAAAGCCTCTCTCTCTGGGTATCTGAGTGAGGGACAAACCCTAAATACTGAGTGAATATGGGTTAGGGAAGCAAAACGAACCTACAGCTGATACCAGCAAATTATAATGGAAACAATTAAACAAGGTCAAGGAGGTCTTGGTCTTTTGATTGAGTGTAATCAGTAGGTCCCCATGTGAATACTGATCTCGTATCAAATACAGCACTATAAAGCAGGGTAAAGTGTGCAGAATAACACAAATATGGGAATGGAACTCATAAATGATTGCTGAAGAAATAACATGATGAGGTCAAACTATATCCTTCAAACTCTACCGAACTGGATTGTGGGAAACCAGCACATACCGTATGGAAGGACATCCAGGAAAAGCACAAGCACAGAGTAATCAGTGTGGAATTACTGGGGCAGATGCACTGAGGAATGTAAACTGCTAGGACTGGCAGGAGGACAGAGTCCAGATGGGCCACACTCAACTGCAGCACCGCCAAAACAGATAAAACCCACATGCACAAACACATGCAAGAAGAGGGCTTGAGCCCAGACACAGAAGACATGCATGAGAAGCCGCAGAAACCAATCCAAACCACCGACCAAATGTGGACAATTTAGATTCAGCATGCCGCTCTGACTGCTGAATCTCTAAGTCTGTGTGTATTCATTGATGCGTCGGTCAGACATGGACAAGGGTGGGGGGCGAGGGAAAGCTTGACAGGCATTCATAATATGAAAACATGTGATTCCCTTTACATCTAAGAAGGATATTTTGACCCATGGCTGTCTCAATGACATAGAGACTATGACATAATAAATAAAAAAGCTGACAACAAGCAGATGAAGAAACATGGCCCAAAACAATAAGAGATGCAGGGAAAATATATAGTCTCGATATTCCAAAAAACAAATTTAATTATAAAAACATGATCTAATTTGGGCTGATTTGAAGGTTTAAGCAGTGGAGGTAGATGAGATGTGGGGGTGTGTGTTGTGTGGAATGTGTCTACAGCTGGCCCTGGAGATAACACAGGCATTACGCTAAATTGACCAAGAAAACTGAGGAATAAGAACTACTGAATCAAATGTTGCAATTAGAGAATACTGCGTCAAAGAAAAATAACATTACAGTATTGTAAATATTCCTTTTTTTGATCACATTTAACTTTAATAGTCTGTAACTAAAAATATGCAGCAGTAGATCCAGTCTGTTTGGATAATGTGAGTACTGTGGAGTACACAGGTTTCTAGGTTGCATCAGATAATAACTGGAGTGCCGCAAGGCTCTGGCCTTGGCCCCTTTCTCTTCTCCTTCTACACTTACTCTTTAGGTCTAGTCGCACAGCTTTTCCTACCATTACTACACAGATGACATCTGACTTTAAATCACCTTTCCCTCACAGGAAATGAGTCTTGGCTCAGATTTCCACATGCCTCACCGACATCACAATCTGAATGAGGGAATAGCATATCCAGCTGAACCTTTGAAAGGCTGAGCTTCCTGTTTCCTGTCTCCATCAAAGTCTACCTGAAACCTAGGGGTAATGATAGATGACCAGCTACCTACTGCTGACCAGCTTTGCTGCAGCGCTGTTCCAGTCTTGTGGATTTACTGTGTATGTAATATCATGGAGGTCAGATTTTATCAGAATATGCAGCTCAGCTCCTAGTACAGGCTGTTATCATCCCATTATTTGATTACTGTTACTCTTTACTGACAAGCATGGGCTCTGAATCCATTGCAGTTGATTAAAAGTGCAGAAGCATGTTACTTTTCATTGGCTCCCGATATGCGAAAACCAATCCCACCTGGAGCTCCCTCCACCATGTGAGAAGAAATGAGTTATGCATCCACATCAAGTCACCAAAGTCTCTTCTCAAACCTGCATGAAACACCTCAAAACCCATCTTTTCTGGGAAGAGCTCACCCAGTTCATCCAGTCACCAACCTGCTGTGGCTTCATATGGAATGCCCTGCTTTTGGTTTCTAGGCATGTGTGGATGCTTTTGCATTTTGCACTTGTCTAGTAGAAACCCAGTTCATCATATAGGAATAGCTCTTCTCTTAGGCACTTACAGTGTCTTGTGATGTATTGTATTGCACTTGCTAATCTCATTGGAAGCCTAGCTGCACTTGTAAATAAATAAATGTAAATGCTAATACAGTGGTACATCAGTTCTCCAACTCATTAGAACTCGAATTTCTTAAAAGTCAAACCAACCAGTTCAAAAAAAAAATTACTTAGAACTCGATTTGAATCTCAGAAGTCGAACCGTGAACGCCGATCTAAGATAACTTGTAGGCGCAGGGAAATGAGTCACGTCTCTCAACGGAAACAAAGGGTAATGCTTCAGTCTCAGCCTCGCATTCACTGTGATTGCATCGTGCATAATTACACTAGCTGAATACATATATTTAGACAGTAAAAATACATTTAGACAATGATAGACAGTAACAGTAATTATATTATTATATAATAAAATACATTTAAAAACAATGATTTCTTATTATACTCTGCGATGGGCTGGCCCCCCATCCAGGGTTGTTCCCTGCCTCGTGCCCATTGCTTCCGGGATAGGCTCCGGACCCCCTGCGACCCATTAGGATAAGCGGCTTGGAAAATGGATGGATGGATTTCTTATTAATTATTGTAATACAGGTATTAATAATAAACCATTAATACATTTAATAATAATAATATTGTTGTGCTGAGCGGGGATGGAACGGAGACAAAGGCGCAGACGTCAGGGTATCGGGGAATACGGGGTTTAATTACATGTAAGGCAGGCAGAACGCAGACGGACAATACAATGACCGGACTGGGGAAACAAACTGAAACGCGGACTAAACACAGAGGACTAATGACAACAACCAGAAACAGCTGATCACACTGGAATTATACACAAGGTTAACGAGGGGGCGTGGCACACGGAAGGAGCGGACAATTGGGGCAGGACACATTGTTTTTTTTTTTATTTTACACATTGTTTGGATACATTTATTTTCTTACTTTACAAATTACTTTTTGATAAATGTGCTTAGATGTGTTTACTACAGTATATGCTCTTCTTGTTTTATCCTGTTCATTTTGTGTTTAAATGCTTAAAAAAAAACATATGAAGGGGTAATTTTTTGGGGCCGGGAACCAATTAATTGGTTTTCCATTATTTCTTATGGGGAAAATTCGATCAGAACTCAAATTTTTTAGGATTCCATCCGGAGTTCTGAACGGATTAAGTTTGAGTTCTGAGGTACCACTGTAATGCTAATCATGACCGCAGAAGTGGACGATTAAATTTAAACTGACCAATTATTACTGATCAATAATTGTGCGGCAGAGACAGGGGAGGAAAGGAGACAATGGCTTGTTTAATGTGCTGTCATTAAGGTGGTGATCACTGTGCATGGCCACCTTACATCACGATTTGATGTCTGTTTATTTGCTAAAGGCTAAACAGGGTGAATGGAAAGAAAGAAACATGGTTTGTGTGTAGGTATGTAACCATACACTCAACTCACGATTCGATACGATTCACAATTCTAAGTTCACGATACGATTTTCTCACAATTTTTTAACAGAATTAGCTGCAGACAAATTTATTCAAAAATATTTCTTTATCTTTTTAAACTGTGCAAAACGTGTCCTCTTCTTAACAGTGCAACTGAAATTGAATAAAATTCTGTTTAAAAAAAATCCCAAATCAAAATAATAAAAAAAAAATCTTCAAATAAATAAATGGTAACGCTTTACATTAACTGCACCTTCATAATGCTTTTATATTGCATTCATAAAACGTTCAGTACACCTTCATAATGTATTCATTAAGTATTCAGAAATCATTCATAAACATCATGCATGTATACCTTTACATCCTAACATCCCTTAACAGCTGTAATATACATTAATAACAAACATTATATAATAATAACAAACATTATAATTGTATAATCATGTAATGTTTGTTATTAATATATACTCAGCAAAAAAAGAAACGTCCCTTTTTCAGGACTGTGTATTTCAACAATAATGTTGTAAAAATCCAAATAACTTTACAGATCTTCATTGTAAAGGGTTTAAACAATGTTTTCCATGCATGTTCAATTAACCATAATCAATTAATTAACATGCACCTGTGGAATGGTCGTTAAGACCTTAACAGCTTACAGAAAGTAGGCATTTAAGGTCACAGTTCTAAAAACGCAGGCCACTAAAGAGACTTGTCTACCGACTGTGAAAAACACCGAAAGAAAGATGCCCAGGGTCCCTGCTCATCTGCGTGAACGTGCATTAGGCATGTTGCAGGGAGGCATGAGGACTGCTGATGTGGCTAGGGTAAATTGCCATGTCCGCACTGTGAGACGCCTAAGACAGCGCTACAGGGAGGCAGGAAGGACAGCTGATCATCCTCGCAGTGGAAGACCACGTGTAACACCTGCACAGGATCGATACATCCGAATATCACACCTGCGTGACAGGTACAGGATGGCCACAACAACTGCCCGAGTCACACCAGGAACACACAATCCCTCCATCAGTGCTCAGACTGTCCGCAATAGGCTGAGAGAGGCTGGACTGAGGGCTTGTGTGTTCCTGGTGTGACTTGGGCAGTTGTTGTGGCCATCCTGTACCTGTCACGTAGGTGTGATATTTGGATGTGCATGTTAATTAATTAATTGATTATGGTTAATTGAACATGCATGGAAAACATTGTTTAGACCCTTTACAATGAAGATCTGTAAAGTTATTTGGATTTTTACAACATTAATGGTGAAATAAACAGTCCTGAAAAAGGGATGTTTCTTTTTTTGCTGAGTATATATTAAAGCTGTTAAGGGATGTTAGGATGTTAAAGTGTACTTGCATGCTGCTAATGAATGTTCTATAAATGCATAATGAATGCATTATGAAGGTGTACTTAATATAAAGCATTACCAAATAAACTACGGCTTGCATGTGCAGCTTTTTAGCGTGGTTTCCCCTTTTAAGTAAAGCACCGTGAGGTACTCATAAAGTAGTGATTCATTTTCCACATCAGCTGGTCTAAATCGTCATACATTTCCTTCGATTTTTAACCGATTCGCAATTCATTGTTACATGTCTATCTGTGTGTGCCCGGCTGTGTTATGTCCAGGGTCTGCTGTTGCCTGTCCAGTAATTTGTGTTGGGAGCATTATGTTTGAGGTGTGATGTTTTTGTACCTTAGGGCCAGTGAGTTGGTGGGGTGTCTTTTTTTTTAATGTTGTGACATTAGCGGTCATAGAGTGGCACAGAAAAGGTCCTTCCTCTGTAGAGGCTGAACGTGCTGCTGTAGTGGTCGCTAGCTACAGACACGCTCTCCTCAGACCCCCACACCGGGCAAGCCAAATTGGCACGGGATGCTCGGATCAGCGGCTCCACGCCCAGGTGCCTGACATGGCCCCCTGGCACCTCTTGCGGCTTCGCTTGCCTGCCAGCTCTCAGGGGGTCCTGCAGCCCCGGTGCTCTTGAACCCAAAGCTGGCGCCTCCTCTTCCTCCACCACTGTGTCCTGACCGGGACTCCAGCCGTCTGTGCGAATTCCCCTACTCGGACCTGACTCAGCAAGGACGCTCCTCACTCCTTCACCTGAAATTATGAAAAAGCCATCAAAGACTGGGCCTCCGAAGGCTCACAGGAAAACTGTGTTTATATGAGGGAGCAGGCTGAGTTGTGGATAGGAGTACAATTATGTCCACAGGCATTAAATCTGTGGCATTGAGTCTGCCACAGAGGGCAGCACTGTACCGGATAAGCACTATACCGGACTGCTGATCTGCAAAGCCCCTGGCAATGTGACATCATCAGCAGGGGGGGACAGATGCTCAACTGACATATCACAGAGGAGTGGCCCAAGTGCCAAGCTCACCGAACAGGCCACTGCTTGGCACAGTGTTTTTGTTGCTTGAATGTGGAAAGGTTTCAAGGAGCAGGGCAGAAGGTTAGGAGTAAATCCTAGGCCACCAAAAGTAACAGTACTGGACGGCAAAGCTGGAAAAACTGGCATGGAGGCGCATTCCCCGTCAACAGGGGGCAGGCAAACACCCCTGTCTGTCAGTAAGAGGCTCCCATGGTGACTAAAATTACATGAATTTTTAAATGATCACAGTCGAGAACGGCTAATTAATCTCCCCCTCGATACACCACACTGTGCCAGCTAGGGGCAGCCAAGACAGCCACCCAGCTTGCTCTTTGGGCTGCAGGCTTCATTGAGCAACATGTTGTTCTTGGCAGTACCCAGTCGCTAGTAGGAGTGAGAGGAACCCACCTGCTGGAAGCCAAATTAGGATCTCCGGTTTTCAGTGATGAGCCTTTTATATCAGTCCTACTGTTTCATGGTTTAGCCAACCCAGTTATGAAGAGCAGTTTGTGGCTTCACCCTTTATATACCTGTAAACACTTGTACAGCAGGAGAAGCTGGGAAAGTGTTGCTCCATCTATGATTTCATGCACAGATGGTTTTAGGTTTCGGTGCCTTATCAGGGGCAGGGCTTCATGTCTCATTCCTCTCCATAGCAACTGGGTTCTGATAGACGCAGACGGTAGCAGAGTATTTAAGACAATGCGTTATTTATACTCGCTGACAAACTGCGCTGAGCTGTGGTCGACTAGCAAAACACTACGGGGCACTTGACCAACGTTCAGCCAGAAACATCTCCTGACTGCATCCCCTGCACTGTCCCTGTGTCTTTGTGTCCACTTGGGCAAGGTGGCCTAAGTCAGTGGCTTAAAGTAGCAGCAGTGTGTGAGAGAGAGAAAGACGCTGGATGGATTTAAAAGCTTCTTCCCCAAGTAGTTTCAAGCCAAGCAAGAAAACAACCCAATGTACGACACTTCAGAAACAGCCGCATACTGGCCCTGTTGGATGCAGCCATCTGCATGAATATTTCTACATGTTAGCTAAGAAGGTTTTCAGCAATGCAACCATCCAGGATTTATTTCCTATGTCTGAACCTAGATAAATAAATAATACAACAATGCAAAAATAATACAGCGGGGTGACAAATGTAAATGCAAAGCCATTACCTTAGCCATCTGTCATTGATTTATGGTTGCAAAAGATGAACGTCATCTCACGTTAAGTGCAATCTGATCTAAATCATGGGAAGAACATTTGAAGACCATCATGGTGCTGATGACGCACAAGGAGAGGCCCCCTGCAGCTCACTGTTTTGGCAGCCCACCTCAGACTGTGTTCCTACTTCATGGTTTCAGTGGGGGTGGGACACCCTCCCCAGACCGCCAGCTGTGAGAACATGTCTAAATCACTGTGTGAGTACAGACCCCCGGCCATTCACCACAGAGTGGTTTACCTCTGCGGGGGGCCTGCTTTGCCTGCCCTCCAACCTCTCCCTTAGCCTCCATCGGGATGTGGGCCTCCGTGGTCTCATCTTCGGTGGTCTCTGAGTCTGGAAAGAGAGACAGGCAATGGGATCAGTGAGACAGACACAGGGGTGCCAGAGAGCAGCAAGGGAGCATGTCATGTGGATGACATTGAGAAACATAGGGTGAGATGGACACCAGAGAGAACATGAAACAGAGAGACGAGGTGATGCAGTGACGTACAGGGAAACACACCAAAATGTTTGGTGGTAAAAGACAGGGCGGGCAGAGGGCAGTTAAAAAGCAATGATGACATGAGCATGACCACTTAATCTTCATGTGTGTACCCATAAATTATGACTTTCACACGTGAGCTTTGTCATTCAATATCACTGAGGTAGAGAACGATGGATAGGACGAAGATCCAGAACACTCAATGAGGGCCTTTACCGTAACGCTGTTTCCTGCAGGAGCGGAAAACTTCGCTTCCATAGTGGTAGCAAGGAAAAGCAGACAGAAAAGCCCTGTTACTATGGGAACTGCTTGTACGCCTACTCACAGCCAATCAGCTGCAGCCAAACCGTGCAGCATGTCGAGCATCACCACAGCACTACTGATATGGCCTGGGACTGTTTGACGAGGCTACAGCAGTGCGTGTCTGCTGGGGCATGATCGTGGTTGTGTGGCAAGTTGCCATATTTACTCTCATGCTACACATACCAGAACCTTCTGAGTATATTCTGACACTTAAAAACAAGACAGGTTCGACACAGACACAATTAGAACTAATACTAACAACACAAATAACATGATCAAGAGAGAAAAATTTTCAACCAGTAATTTATTACAGTACAAGAAGCAAAAGAGCTTGCATAATATTTATAACGAGTTCAACATTTAACAGCAAGGAATGTGCAAATGGAGTTTGTGGTTAAGTTTCAGGATGCCTTGGTGACGGCTGGATATTTGTCACAATCACAAACCTTTGACTGGCTGGGTGGGGGGGTGCTGGGGGCATGAAACTTTCCACCCTCACAATAAAGAGAAAGAAGCAAGATGCTGGAAAGCAGAGTTCTCAGGATATGGCTATGACTCAGTGAGTCCAGCATTTATACAGCAGGACTATAGCTTCACCCATAAAGGAAGCATGCTTGGTTCTGAGAGATCTGAGTAACTGGCTCAACAGTGAGTGACCTGCTCTGGTGCACCCTGGGTCCCAGAATAATTCAAGGCACCCAGATGGTCTTGACCTATTTTGACAACATATTTTTCAGATTTAAGTCGGAAAGCCTTTGGGACATTGTGGGTGAATGCATAACTGATGACTGAAGTACAAGTGCTCCCTCTACTGGGATGATCGATTGGGCGCTCCCTTGACTGAGATGACTGAGGCATCCTTAAACTTGGGTGAATGGCAAACACATTGTTGCCTAGCAAATTCTCTGGAATGCCATTGTAGAATCTCTGCTATAATAACCTGTTATCTATAAACCCAAACACACCATGGGTAAACCGTCCAAAGGTTCGACTAGAGTGTCCAGGTTTCTGAAATGAGAAGACAAAAAATGTATTTAGTGATGGGCATGTACATGAAAGAATAAAGAGTATTACCAAGTATCACAGACATGCACTGTGCTATGACCATGCACAGGTTAAATGAACAGTGCCCCCTGATGTCTACAGAGGTAACTCTAGCACTAATTAGCAGTAGTGAAGGAGAGAAACTAGTATGTAGACTAAATCAAAACTCTCACACACATCTGTGAAACATCAGGAAGCAGCAGGAAGAGCCTGGAACAGCCAGGTCTATTGAGAATCCAGGATAGCTCACACTCAGATAGGCAGGGGTTCTCAGGGCAAGCTGGCCTGAGCCAATTCCAACTAATATATTGATGACAAGGATTAATGCATCCATATAGAGCACCCATGAAAATGATCACTACAATAATGTAAAGAGATTCCCCCATGGCTCAACCTTGTGGTGTTGGTTTTATTGCTGCGTGGTGAAAGGCTAAACCCAAGCAGACTAGTGGCCCACCCTGGGACAGCAAACGTGGATAGCGACTGGGGATAGCGACTGAAAACAGCGACCAGGGAGAGTAACTGGAGACACTGACAGGGAACTGGGGATGTTCAGGAGATCAACGAGCTTCACATATCTTTGGATGAATGGGGTCTCCACTCCACTCACCCCACATAAAGGGAGGAATATTTTTTATAGGATGACCATTTAATACAGGAATCAAATATACACATACACAACCCTCAACTTGAAGAAAGCAGCAGATCATATGACTGTCAACTTTGTAAACCAAATGCAGAGGCTCCTAAAGACCGCTGGGAGCCTGCATTAAGAGGACGGGACATGACGGCGGAAACCCAGCCTTACCGACTTGGTGAGTGACTGATGGCCTGCATTCTGACAGAGTGACCCGTATGTTGAACATCTCCAATCCCACCACTGTAAACAATCAACACCTTAATGGATGGTGACAATGACAGTGTATCTGTCTGTCTCCTTATGGGAGGATGATGATGGAGTTTGGGCCTTATGGTCAGGCTACTGGTTGCTCTCCTCTTAACCCATTTTAGTTAAACCATCTAGTTTACCAAAACCTTTAATTCATTGATCGTGTATTCACAGATCTATATACAGGAATTATGTTAAAACATGCAGAATACTCACACCTAAGGTTTAAAAATAATACTACAGTTTACTTTATATTATTAATTTATATTTACTTTATATTATTATCATGTTGTTAACATGCTAAAAATATAAAACTGAGTCCGAGTGTGATAAAAACTGTGTTAGGGTGACCTGTGTTTTATCGTTGCCTCAGCCGGACCAAGAAGCCTGTCGCCTTCTCACCCTTTGCTGGCCACCACATCCTCTCAGACCCAGACCTAATTACCTCCTCCACATTGCAGGCTTGCATTGACTGCACCTCTGTGGCCTGACCCACTCTTCCACATGTGAATTTTCTCCAACATCATTCTAACGGCTTCATGTCTGGATTGCAGGTTCCCCACCTCATCCTGTGCTCACTGTGCCCCTCATAACAATCTTTAAACTAGGGGTCACCAACATGGTGCCCGTGGGCACCAGGATGCCCCCAAGGACCACATGAGTCGCCCGCAGACCTGTTCTAAAAATAGCACAACTTACCAGTGAGCAGCATCTAACATTTCATTTTATCCTGTTGCTATTCTTCTTTTATCACATTTGCATTTATATAGATTTGAAAATGACAATTAAAATAATAAAAAAAGCATTTAAAACATGTTTATTATACTGAACAGATGTGCTATTTAAGAAGTGTGTATCAAACTGGTAGGCCTTCATAAGGCTCAGTACCTGTGAAGTAACTCTCAGTTTCAAAAAGGTTGGTGATCCCTGCTTTAGACCCTGACACAGATAACTAAAGAGTGCATCCCTACAAAACATAGACACAGTTTGTCACTGCTCCACTTCCACAGCCATTCACCCAGATCACACACAGCATAGCTTTTCTTCTAGGGACCAGACAGGTTTAACAGCTACCAAACTGGCCTTCTTAGTCTGCAGCTTTTGCGCTCTCTCTGTGATTCTGATTCTTTCCCTCCTGTCTTCCTAAAGAACTGCTCACGGTCTGACCTACTGCAGCAAATGAATCTGTACCACGAAGCCAGAAGCATGACCTGTGTGACATGCACAAAAGGGAGGTGGGCCAGGCAACAAGCATTAAAAAATAAGCATAAAGCAATAACCACAGCAACACAGTGAAGGCAGTGATAGACATGGCAAGACAATTTCCCTGACCCTGGCACAGTTGACTGGCTCAAAGGCACCATAACTTTTGTTTTCCTGAGCGCTTGGCATCATGGGATAGGGCAACTGGCTCCATAAGACCGCTCCTGTCTGATCCTGTCACTTCCTGTGCCTGTACCCCTCCTGGTACCCTGGGTGCCTTTTTGTGTCACGGTGACATTTTGGAGGGAGGTCAGTTTAGAGCCCACACTGGCAGCATTTTGTAAGTCAGGGGACACATGTGATGGTGTCCAGTCCGGCTGGCTGTAGCTCTGGCTTCCTATGCACATCTGCCCTGTATGGTTTGTGATGGCCACACGCCAGGCAACACAGATCATAAGCAAAGGGGACAAGGGTCAGAGTTCACAGACAGCTGTACTCACCTGGAGCCTCTTCTTTGACCAGATCTTCTTCATGGTTGTAACAGGTCCAGGTTCTATTTTTTCTTCCAGTGTGGGACAGAGAGATTTTTTTTTTTTTTTTTTTAAATGCACGGCCCTCCCGGCACATGGACTGGTGACCTCGTCTCTGTGGCAATGACACCCCTCATGCTAGACACTCACTGGTCCCGCGTTCAGGCAGCATCTCCGGCCAAAACTTCAATGAAAGACGTCAATGACAATGAAGCCAGAAAAGTTTGAATTTCCTAAGCTGTGGTTCATCCAGCGCTGGTGAAAAAGCAGCACGTGATAAACACAGGTGAACCGGTGATTTGCATCAGGGGCTTTGAGCGAACTGAGGGCCCCGACACTACCACAGCAGTCCCGCACACGATCGTTGGAACAAGGATCCGAATATCCGAATATCAGCCAGTGCAGTGGCTAGCAAGAGTGATGGAGACAGAGAAAGGGAGAGGAAGAGCGAGAGGGAGGCAGCGACAGCGAGGGAGAGAGGAGGGGGGGAGAGAGAGCTTTCACTGGTCTGCTTCCTCCAGAGAGAAAAAAGCTGTGAGTCAGCCAGACAGACAGACAGACAAACACACACACACACACACACACACTCTCACTGACCTGAGAGCTAAAATGTAGGTTGATCTCTCCTGTGCCTTTTATCATCCCCCACCTCTCCTAATTCTCCTAAAAGCCTAAGATTCTGCCTATACCCCACAGTAGACCATGGCTGAAGAGAGCTTCAGCTGTCAATTGGTGGGGATCGATACTGCCCCCACCAGGCAAAGCTGCGACACTGTAACAGCTGCTTAGTCTCCAAACAACTGCAGCAGTCTCTCACCTCTGAATGTTATCAGGAACAGTCCTCCCCCCAATCCTGAGGGACAGGAGTGAGTCTGGGACATTT